ATGCTGTTCGTTTAGGAACCACCACCTTGGGAAACACAGAAAAACTCTGAGAAATAAAAATCAACATTCCAGCAGATATACTTTTAAGTTTGCAAAATGGTTCCACAGCCAGGCCAGAAGAAAGGCAAAAAAACAAAGCCTGGCCCCCTGACTTAGAGACCCTAGTTGGTATAAAATGGGCACATCCGAGCTGCCCCATTGCCCCTGTGTACACTCAGAATTCCCCGCAGGCTCCTGGCACCTAGAAAGCAGCCCTTAAGCAGCATCTCCCTTCTGACCAGCCTTTTCCTTTTAGGAATGACTTTACTGACGGACTAGCCTGTCATGTAGTGGTGAACGAGGGTAACTACAGGCCGCTCTATAAAAAGCTTAATGCCTAGTGTCTGATACATCAAAAGAATAAATGCGCATAAAATAAACTCCCGGAAACCCACCACTCAATTTAAGAACTACGAAAACACTTTTTGGTACCTCCAACTGTGTGCCTTGTTCCTATCTTGTCCTGCCTCCTCACCACAGGGAACAGTAGGTTGAATTTTATGGTGCCCATTTTAAAAAATTTTTTTTTTTTTTGGTTAAGTTTGGGGTCTCTCAACAATTTATTTTCAATAATCTGGTTGGCTCGACACATGATCCTGCATGGTACATTCACAAACGTGGAGGAAAAAAATAAAATTTTTTTTTAAAATATGTAGCTTTATCATATGCGTAATCAACCTCAAACAAAATATTGTTTAGTTTACTTGCTGGAGCTTTACAATAAGTGTGGTATCGTAACAATGTCGTTTTCTGCAACCTACCTTTTTCAGGTTTATAAAAAAATTTATGTGGAAAATATTTGTTTTATTTTATATTTGAAAATATAAATGTTCTGATTATATTCGACCAGGTTGCGTGTGTAGCTGTAGTACATTCACTAGCTGAATGTGTAGGCTTTTTATTTATACGTTCTTCTCTCCATGGACATTCGGTAGCCTCCAATTTTTTGCTGTTTTGCTGTTGTAAACAGTCCTGTGACGAGTATTCTTAAGCACGCACAAGGATTTCTCCGTAATCTATTCTAGTTCAGTTTTAAGAAATATTGCAAAGTGTCTTTCAGTTATACCAATTCATGATTCTAATAATTTCAATGATCTGATTTGTAGATTCGTTTATTGCTTTCTATGTACACAGTTACAGTAGCTACAGCCAATGACAGCATTGTTTCCTTCTTTCTCCTATCTGTGCTACGCTTGCCTATGGAGCAGACACCTTTATCTTGTTCTGCTCTTAAAGGAATAGCGACTTTCAATGATTCGCCGTTAAGAATGTTGACTACTGAAGGCTTTTTTAAAAAAGATAACCCTTTAATGTTAGGAAGTTTCATTTTATTCCTGCTTTACTAAGGGCTTTTTTCATGATTGGATGTTGACTTTTACTGAATGCCTTTACTACTTCTGTTGAGATAATCATAGAACTTCTCCTTTAACCCGCTAATGTGAAGAGTTAATGTTACCGGGTTTTATGTTGAATCATCCTAATTTTTCTGGAATAAATCCAGCTTAGTCATGATGAATTGTCTTTATCATACACTGTTGGACTTGATTTGCTAATATTTTGTTTATAGCATTTCCGTCTATGTTCATGAGGGATTCTGGTCTGTTACTTTCTTTCTCGAAGAGTCTTGGCTCATTCTATTTCAAGCTTGTACTAATCTCATATGAGTTGGGGAGTATTGCTTCTTTTGATATTCTTTATAAGAGTTGGTATAAAATTAGAATAGAGGTGTTTGGGTGGCTCAGTTGGTTCAGTGTTAACTGTCCGACTCTTGATTTTGACTCAGGTCATGGTCTCAGGGCTATGAGATCCAGCCCTGTTCCCAGCTCCACGCTCAGCAGGTGGTCTGCTTGAGATTCTCTCCCTCCACCCTCCCCTACCACGCATGCACTCTAGCTCTCTCTCTCTCTCTCCCTAAAATAAGTAAATCTTAAAAATAAAGTAAAATAAAATAAAATTAATTTATCCTATGAAAACCTCCTAGGAATTGCCTAAAAACCAGTGAAGCTTGATTTTTTTTTTAAGCCACTGATTCAATTTCTGTAATACTATTGAAAACTCAGGCTTTCTTGTTATCGCTTTGACAAACTATATTTTTCTAAAAATGTTTCCCTTTCTAAAAAGCTTTAAAATTCACTGATGTAATGTTATCCGTGGTATGTTCACTGTATCTTTTTAACCCCTTCAGTATTTGCGGCTTTCTTCTGTTCTTTATCTCTATTACTCATGCATGCTATTACCCTCTTTCTTAATGACTCTTACCAGAGGGTCTATTTAATCCAGTGCCGGCTTGTTGGTCATCCCTATTGCACATTTGTTGCCCATGGCATTGGTTTATGCTCTCATCTTTACCTCTTCCTTATGCTCTGAGTTTCCGGTGGGGTTCTTCTTTCCTTTTTCCTTCTTTCCTTTCCCTCCACTCTGTTTTCCTCTAGCTCATTAATTTTCAGTCTTTTTTTTTTCCTAGTATAAGCATCAAAAGCTATAAATTTCCCTGTAATTACCATTTTTGCTGCATCCACTAGTTTGTTATGTAGAATTCTTATCACATCATGTAACTGTCTCTATACAGTGTTCAGTTTTTATTATGAGTTCTTACTTGACTCATAAATTATTTAGAAGTGCACTTTCTAATTAATTTCCAAAACTTGGGGAGGGTGTCCTTTTTCTTTCTGTTTCAGATTTCTAATTTAATTGCATAACTTGGATCTATGGCCATAGGTCATAAAAAGTGGTTTATGTAAACCATATTATTTGAAATTTGTTGAAACTAGCTTTATGACCTTTTATATGGTCAGTTTTTAGAAATGTTCATGTGTACTTGAAAATAAGGTCTATTCCTTGATGAATGGATGCAGAATAATTTGTAAACATCCAATAAATCAGGCTGGTTGACTCTATTATTTAAATCTTTCTTGAGGTGCCTGGGTGGCTCAGTGGGCTAAAGCCTCTGCCTTCAGCTCAGGTCATGATCCCAGGGTTCTGGGATTGAGCCCCGCATTGGGCTCTCTGCTCAGCAGGGAGCCTGCTTCCCCCTCTCCCTGCCTGCCTCCCTGCCTACTTGTGATCTCTCTTTCTGTCAAATAAATAAATTAAATATTTAAAAAAAATAAAAAATAAATCTTTCTTAACCTACCAATAATTGAAAGCATTGTACTAATAAAATATACATCCCCTATATTAGATTAGTCAATTTTTTTCTATAGTTCTGTAAATTTTTATTTTATATGTTTGAATGCTATTTCAGAAGGTACCTACAACTTTAGAACTATGGTATCTTCTTGATAAATTAAACCTTTTATCATGATAATGATAAGAGCCCTAATAATACTTTTTGCTTTGTAGTGTAGTTTGTCTCATATCTATATAATTACACCAGCTCTCTTTTAGTTAGCATGTCGCTGGTATATCTTTTTTCATCATTTTATTTTCATCCTCTCCGTATCCTTTTATTTTAGGTGTGTCTCAGGTTTTCGTCTGTTTATTTATTTATTCATTTATTTTTCTTTTCATGAGCTCTATGCCCAATGTGGGGCTTGAATTAATGACCCTGAGATCAAGAGTTGCATACTCCACTGACTGAGCCAGATAGGTGCCCCGATCCAGATGTTTTTTAAAAGAAAATGATTCCAACTCTGAGCACTCCCATAAAGTCAGTGGAGGAATTTTGATGCTGCTGCTGGCAAGAGAAAAAAACTGAGAAAGAAGTGATTCAAACTCGTGGCTGTATCCCAGAGACCTTGGGGGATCTGACAAAGGCTATAATTACCGAAAAAATATATCCTCAAATCATGTTGGGTACAGTTTCAGGTGGTTCAAAGACCCCTGATGCCCATTTGCCCACCCTAGCTAGCCATGGGGAGTAAGAATGTGACCAAAGAGAAATAAGGTCTCATACAAAATCTCAGCCCAACTTTTATAAAGAAGACAAAGCCATTGGGATTTTTTTCCCCAATGCTTTTCTAAAGACAAATAAAAGCATCTCTAATTAAATGTTCACTGTTCACCATTTTTAGCATATTAGCTTTAAATTATATCAAAGATCTAGTCGGGTTTTTCATGTTGCATAAAAAAATGTGCAGGGTGATAAGCCCCTTTGTGTAATTAATGCCTACACTGTCCTTATGCTTATTTCACAAAGACTGAGCATAGTTTCACTAATAAGTTATTATAAGAGTTTCTACTTGTAATAACTTTGCTTATATGAATGAGATTTTCGTCACTTCATTTATGCCAAGACCTTAACCAGGAACAAGCTCCCAACTCAAACAATTCCCTTATGGGGAAAACAGTTTTATGCAATGGTCAGCTTTTTTAGGAATGCCCCAGGTGAAAAGCTGGATTGTCTTGTTTCGTGCACATTAGTCTTGCCCCCACTCCCATCCCCTGGCTACCATTCAGGGCCCCCAGGAAAGAAATGGCATAGCAGAAAGACCTGGGAGTCCACTCTGACTTCTGCCAGGAAGCCTCAGGCAGATTAATTCCCATCTCCAAATTTTCATTTAATCATCTGTCCAAGAACAATGACAATATCCACAGAGTGCTTGGGCAAGGACAGTAAGGTTGCAAGAAACATTGATTCCCTGCACACTATCCTGGTGTGGCTCAACAAATGTTTATTGATGTAACTGAGAACTGGTTCTGGTTAATTGTCTAGCTAGGAAAAGGGATCCGGCTTTGTCTGCTGGGCCCATTTAGAATTATGACTTGCCTATTGTTCAATGGGGGATCCTGTATCCAAACAAATAAATAGTTAATTGAAAGCCAGGCAGCTAGGGCTTTTTGCTTTGGGTGGAAACTTAATTCCCAGACAATCCATACATTATGTATAAACTGCCTTGACCCGCTTCTGTGCTTGGCACTCAGGCCAGTGCCCAGCACAGCAAGATCATAGAAGGATAGGGGGGATGAGGGTGAGAGTAGGGGTCAGTGACCCAGTTTAGAGCTTCCCTCTCACTCTGCAGGGATGAAGAAACTCCCAGCCATCGGGGATGAACACAAACTTGATTCATCATGAGGACACACGATGGTCACCTCTGCTACAGTCCGGAAGGTAATCTTTCTGCTCCTACTGCCAGGCAGAGTGCAAACTACTTCCAGAAACACTGTGCGGTTTCTAATAAGGTGAAATATACACTCACTGTATGACCCAGCAATCCCATTTACCCAAGAGGTACTTATCTAAGAGAAATGAACCTTTGTCCACACAAGGACTTGTAGGTGAATGTTCTAGCAGCTTTATCATAATAGCCCCAAACTGGAAACAGCTCAGATGTCCTTCAACTGGACCATGAATTACAAATGGGTTCATCTAAGCAGGCGAATTCTGCTCTGTAATAAAAAGAACTGGACTCTTGATATATACAACAACACGAACGCCTCTCAAAAGCGTCATACTGAGTGAAAGAATCCAGATGGGAAAAGCTAGATGATTTGTATTTATATGGAATTTAAGAAAAAGCAAAACTATAATGGTGTGAAGAAGTTCCCTGGTTGGGCTGGGGAAAGTGGGAGGGAGTGACTAAAAGGGGCACAGGGGAATTTTCTGAGGTGATATGATTATTCTGTAACATGACTGTGGTGGTGGTTACATGAAAATATACACTTCTTCTGTCTTATTGAATTGTGCTTAAAATTAAAGAATTTCATTGTGTATAAATCGTACCTCAACAAAGCTGAATTTTTTTTTAAGATTTTTTTTTTTTAATTTGACAGATCACAAGTAGGCAGAGAGGCAGGCAGAGAGAGAGAGAGGAGGAGGAGGCAGGCTCCCTGCTGAGCAGAGAGCCCGATGAGGGACTCGATCCAAGGACCCTGAGATCATGACCCGAGCCGAAGGCAGAGGCTTTAACCACTGAGCCACCCAGGCACCCCTGAATTTTTTTTTTTTTTAATTATGTAACTTGCAGCTATCATGTTTGTCTCTCAGTAAAACCTAAGACTCGCGAAGCTTACTGGAGTTTGATCTCAGACTCATTTTTCAAGCAGGTCAATGGGCCTCCAAAGAATTCCCTAGGACCTCGTTCTGACCCTGTGGCAGCAAAGGCTGCTGCAGGCTTCTAGAACCAAGCTTACATGGTGCTTTCTGCTTCAGGAGTCCACAGGTTTAAAGCCCAGAAAGGAATTCGGGTCATTCCTATGATGTGGAACCACCTGGTGTGGCTCAAGGGGACCCCAAAGTCCTTCAGATGACCCCTAGGGGAGGATGGGGCTGAAGGAGAGAGATTGAATTCTCAAGCAGATTCCCTGCTAAGTAGGGAGCTCAATACGGGCCTTGATCTCACAACCCTGAGATGATGACCTGAGCTGAAATCAAGTCAGACGCTTCACTGACTGAGCCATGGAGGTGCCGCTGATCTTCCAATCAGCACTTCCTGCGGAGTAAGCATCACCTTCCCAGAGCTTCCCACCCAGGAGACATATTTCTTGCCACCAGGATGATGATCATGACTTGTCAATCTTCTACTGCCTTCGTGGAGCCTCCCAAGGACCTTGCAAGGCAGCGGTTATCATTGTCCCCGTTTTGTAGGTGAAGAAACCAAGACTCAGAGAGCTTGGGTAGCTGTTGCAGGATCACACAGCCCTGAATCAACCCAGAAGGGCCAGATCCTGCCTAAGGCTTCTCTCTTCAAAGGCCTCACTTTCGGCGGCAGGCTGTCCACCCGCTGAAGGGCTCTCCTACTTTTAAAGGATCAGGTCTCTGAAGATACTTTAAGAAGCTAAGTTTTCCTGAAGACTAACAGCTCTGGGTCTCTGCCACACTCCCATAGGTGGTTACATTTCAGAGTCCTACAACACAGAGTTCAGGATAATAATTCTTAAACTGCTTTTAGAAGCAGGTATTACTCATTGCTGGCTATGGCCGTGGGAAAGTCTCCCTCAGGCCTGCATGGCCCATCCCATTGGTTCATGTGGGGGATTCTGAACTCCACGGGGCCCCAGAGGAAGGGCTACAACACTGACAGGCTGTGTGGTCTTGGCCAGGTGACTTGGCTTCTCTGTGCCTGAGTTTCCTCATCTGTCCATGAGAGAAAAGTTATTCCTTCCCCTTAGGGCAGTTGTGAGGATTAAATGAAATCCTATACATAAAGCCCTTGGGGTACATGGGTGGCTCAGGTCAGGGAGTCAAGGTCTTGAGATCCAGCCTGCTCAGCAGGGAGTCTGCTTCTGCCCCTCCCATCCCACCTCCCTCTCCCACCTCCCACTCCTGCTCTCTCTCAAATAAATAAATAAATAAGATTTTGTTTATTTATTTGACAGAGATCACAAGTAGGCAGAGAGGCAGACAGAGAGAGAGGGAGAAGCAGGCCCCCTCCTGAGCAGAGAGCCTGATGTGGGGCTCGATTCCCAGGACCCTGAGATCGTGACCTGGGCCAAAGGCAGCGGCTTAACCCACTGAGCCACCCAGGTGCCCCATAAATAAATAAATAAATAAAATCATAAAAAATAAAAAATCTTGAAAAGCCTTGAGACCAGGACATAGCACACAGTAATTGTGCAATAAATGTTAGTTAGAACTGAAAGAAAAGGACCCTGAATTCCTTTCTGGGCTTTGAAACTACGGACTCCCGAAGCAGAAAACCCCACATAAGCTCTGGTTCTAGAAGCCTCTAATAGCCTTTCTCACCACAGGCTCAGAACAAGGTCCCTGGGAATTCTTTTGAGGCCCACTGACCTGACTGAAATAAAAGAGTCTAAAATCAAACCAAAGTAAACTTCTCTAGTGTTCATTTCAGTGCTAAGGATATGACATCAGGACTGTGGCAGGCAGCTGGGGCCCTCTTAGCTTCTTCCAGCTCTCAGCCACAGATAGGGGTGGGGAGCGAGGGGGCTGGCTGAGCCCAATTCACCTGTAGGCTGCACTGGGGGAGGCAGGCTTCTGGACAAGGTTTGAGTTTATAGCCACACATAGATTGTTAAGGAGTTGGGAAAGAGAGCAGAATCTCCTGGCTTGGAGCTTTTGTTCAAGGGTGCAAGCCCAAGACAGTGAACTTTCCCCTTTTTCTTCCCCTACCGTCAGGTCAGAGAGGGAGCAGCCCTGGTTAGGTACCACCTGGCCTCACTGGCCAGCCCAGGGTGAGCTCCTGCCTCAAGCCAGGCCAATCAGAATCCCTCCCTGATGATTTAGAATTGTGCCCAGAAGACTCCGGGCTCATTCTGCTCATCACCCTGGAAGAGAGGTGTACTTGGAAGCTGCTGGCTGAGGCCATTTGCTGTCATGCTCCCTAGGATGCAGGGAAGGCCAGGCTTCAGGGAGACAGAAAGATGGAACAGAAACGGAGTTGGAGGAAAGTGACTTTCTGAGTCCTCCAAACCCAGGCCCTGGGTTTCATCTCTTCTCCAAGACCCAGCTGTACCCTTGTGCTTAGATTACTTAAGATGTCCCTGTATCCCTATACTATACAATCCCCCTGGGTTATTAACCTGTCCCCAGTTATTTCTAGCAGTCTCAGTCCCAAGAATCTTCATGAAAGCAACGTGAGGCAAGCACCTCTTTCTGTCTCCTTCCCCTCAGTGTGATTTCTGGTCACCCTCCCAGCTTCCTGGAGGGCAACTTCAGCCCAGACAAGGGTGCCCCCCCGGGCAACACCAGTGGACAGGGGAGGCCAGTTTCCAGCTCCTTCTGTGGCCCCTCCCTCTCCCCCCAGGCCTGTCCCCTACTCTTCTCTGGAGCCCGTCCTTGTACAGCCTTCCAAACACACCTCATCCCTGGTTCCTGCCCGCAGAGGTCCTCGGACCAGCTGTTTCGTGACTACCTTTCTTCCCTGTCCCAGTTCCTCTTTGTCTGCCCCTGTGGCTGTGTGTGTCATACCTCCCAGGCGGTGGCTACAGTTGAATGGGGTTTTCAAAGTCTCCCTGGCAGCCAGTGTGGGGAGATGCTTGGGAAAAAGAAACACTTTCAGAAGTTCTTAAATGGACTTGAAAGAAAGAGTGCCGGCTTCAGAGTGAAGAGACGGGATTCTGGTCTGGCCTCACTTCTAACTTGCTGTGTGACTTTAAGTTTCAGTTGTTTCGGCTGCTGAGTGAGAGAAATAGATGAGATCAAAGGTTTGCCAGGGAGCCCTAGTCGAGGTGCCTGGGTCATCACCTTGGAAACCATATCGAGGGAAAAGGGATGGCCCCATGGGGCCCCATTTCTCTTCACTCAGAGTGGCCCCACTTGTATCTGCTTTCTACTCTGAGCATCCTTGCCAGATGCTGCCTTAGCCCAGGTTCCCTAGAAGAAGAGCTCGAGGCAGAGTGTGTGCTGCCACTTGGTGCGGGAGTGCAGTGCCAGGGAAGCTGCAGTCAGGAAAAGGGGTGAGACAGATGAGGACAGAGAGATTTGCTGAGGTGGCCACCATGAGCATCAATGATGCTGGATGCCCCTGTCCCCCCAAATGTCCATGCAATTTGAGAGCACATGAAGATAACGTTCTTAAGGAGCTCTGGTGGGACAGGAAAGAGAGGGACTGATAATCCCACCGGGCAGGGGGTGGGGGGGGCGTGGTATTCATCATGTTCGTTCGGGCAGGCCTGGCCCCTGCTGCTAGCCTGGGCTCCCCTCCATTCAGGGCACAGCTGCCGGCTCCAGATGGGAGGTAGATTTGTTAGTATTTAAGGGATTGGAGGATTAAATGGGCCAGAGAAGCTTCCTCCACACAGCCTCATCCTCTAATGGCTGGAAGCCCAACCCTGGTGTTATTAATTTGATATTACATCATAGGCACTTCATGCCCCTTCCTTTGAAGCCCAGAAGGCTTGCAAAACCAGCAGAGAATAAGAGATTGGGGTCAGAGCCGGATGCCTCAATCCTTCTTCTCTGGCATATACATAGAGCAATCTGTAGAAGGAAGAGCAGACTGTCCCAAACCAAACCTGGGATCCAGTCTGAGCATTGTTGGCTGACCTTGGGATGCTATTTCAGCTCAAGATACTGGCTTTCTCTGCTGCAAAATAGAGACATCAGAGCAAATGAAAGAAAAAATGCTATAAAGCCAATGTGCCCTTTTGTGGGGCTGGGGTGGGCACCAGGATGTGCGGCCTGTGGGCTGCTGTGCACCATGGGGGGAGGGCAATGGAAAATGACCCCAAGACAGACCCCAGTCACAGCCAAGATAGGACATGGGCTCTGATCAAAATGAGAAGGAATAAAACTCTGTAAAAGTCTGCCAAAGGAAAGCACAGGCAAGAAAATGGAATGGAAATATTCCATCAAATCCATCATCTCACTCAGGAAACATCAGGTTCAGGGTCAGACTACGGTAAAGAACAAACCCACCAGCGCGAGGCTGTGTGCCAAGCACTCCATCTCCGTGACATCATGAAATCATCACAGCCCTAGTGCAGTAGATGCAACAGGCTTCTCCTTGTCACAGATGAGGAAACTGAGGCTGGGAGGGGTTGAGCAATTTACCCGAGTGTCACAGCTAGTTAGGGCCAATACCAGGACTGAAACCCAGGCAGTCTGCTTCCTGATTGTTCTCAGGCTTTGCCCTTTATTCTTTCTTCTCCCCGGGACATATCTCCCAAGCAGACTCTTAGGGTCAGATTACCATCGGTATTCCCCTGATTCACGAGTCAGTCTGCCCTGTTCCCAGGTCTGGCCTAAGCTTCAGATCCTTGGGCCCAACAGCCTTCCTGACCCACCTCAAGTATTCTTCCAAGGAATTCTCATTTATCCTAAACTTGCTTTAACCCACTTCCCAGAGGGCGCCTCCACCACCCACCCAGCTGTAGAACCTAGCCAGAGCCTGAACTTTTCTCTCCTCACCCCTGACACCCAAGGTACCACCATGGTACCCTCCATACAACTGACGTCATCAACTTTCTCCTTGCTGCCGTGGCTGCTAGCAGTGCAGGACCCTCACTAGAACAAATGCACGTCATGTGTTCCACCTGGAGGTCTCTGGTCCTGCCTCTTCTCATCTACCCCACGCTAAAATGCAAATATGATGGTGCTATTTCCCTACCCCAGAACTCTTGAACTGCTTCCGGTTGTTCCCAGGACAGAGGCCCTCTTCATCTGAACCCTTCCCCAGGCCACCTCCCATTGCCCTTCCTCCTGCACTCTGCTGCTCTGGCTGAAATTTTTTTTCCTCCAGACAACAGCTTCTTTCTAGATGCTAAGCCTCACTGCCTGGCTGCTCCCTCTGCCTGGAACACTTTGCTACACTCCCTGTGTTCCCTCCACTGCTGCTCAGACTTCATTGTCAGCTCAGAATTCCAAAGTCACAACTGGGATGTTGGTCTTCCAGAAGCCGGGTCTGATTCAAACCCGCTCTAGGTCTATATTCACACCTCAATACTTTTCTCACCACACCCTTTACCAATGCCCCTTTCCTGCCACCAGTGTAGGCCTTACTAGAGCTGGGTTTGTCATTCCTGTAGACACAGTGAGCTGCTCACAGCAGGGAGTTAATACCTGTTTGGAAGAGAGAGAGAGCAAGTGACTTTTCCAAAGCCACAAAGTCCAAGAGAGTGACAAATCCATAATTAGAATCTGCATCAATCTACTCCAGGCCACCCCGACTTGGAAGGAATTCGCTGCTCCTCTCTGTCCTACCATCTAATCCCATTATTTAATTCCTAGCGTCAAGTGCCACAGAGGTGTCATTTTATGAAGCGAAATCTTCCATCTGAAAAAGGAAAGCGCGTAGCGCAGGGTGGGAGGGCATAATTTCCCCCCGCCCCCGCCCCTGTCCTCAAGGACAAGAGAAATCCAGCCTTAGCATCTGGATCTTACCCCAGGTCCCTATGCCGCCCCCCCAACCCCGCTCCACCAGTATCCGGGCCTCAGCCAGCCAAGGCCAAGCTTCCCGCCCGGACGTCAGCGGCGACCCCAGCAACGCCCAGCCCCCACAGGGCCACACTACAAGCGTCGCACGCGCAGGCCAGTGCCCCGCTCCCCGTCGGGAACGCCACCAGCAGGCAGTCCCTTGAACCCCCGGCGGGGCGCGCTCCGCCTCCCCCGCTCCATCAGTCCCTCCCCGCAGGCGCCGGCCCCGCCCCCCGAGCCCCGCCCCCGCGCCGGCCCCGCCCCCGCTCCCGCCGCGGCCCGTGCTTCCCGGGCTGCGAGCTCGCTCGCACGTACGCCCCCGCCCGCCCCGGCCCGCCCCCTGCTCGGTGTCCGCGCTTGTCGCGGCCGCCGGGCCCGTAGAGTGCTTCCGCAAGTCGGAAAGCGGGCCGAGACCCCGGCCGTCGGCGGGGCAGCCATGGAGGCAGCGGCGCGGAGGCGGCAGCATCCGGGAGCGGCGGGTGGCGCGGCCGCGCAGCCGGGCGCCTCCTTCCTGCAGGCCAGGTGGGCGCGCGCCGGCGCGGGGAGCGAGGCCGCGGCTCCCACGTGATGCGGGGCGGGCGGCGGGGACCGGGTTGGAGAAGTCCCGGGTGGGCCGGGGACTGCTGCCGGAGTCCGATTGCTCTGAGCGACGCTCGCTGCGCCCTGGCGCGTGGGCCGCGTCTCCACAGCCTTTTCTCTTCATGGGGACGCCCCGGGACCAGGCAGGCTCGGCAGCCCCCGCCTCCCGGGACGGCTTGGGACAAACTTCTGACGATACTAGTCTAGGGGTCCAAGAATTTCGGGGTGGGGGAGGCGTGCCCCAGGTTCCCGGCGCACACTGCCCGCAATGCATTTGCACTCCCTGGGCGCCACCAAACTCTTGGGGTCCCTCCAAGCGGAATTCTGAGTCCCTCCAAGTTGGATTCTGGTGTCAGTGGGGAGGCTCGCTTCTTATCCCAAGAATATGAGAATGGAAATTCAGGAGACAGTGAAGTGTGTGGAAGCTCCCTTCCCGAGAAAGAACGACGAAGGGCTTTTCTCACTCGTTCGGCTGTTCCTCCTCTCACTAAGGGGAAGAAGTTACAGGTTTATGTAGTTGAGACCAGGAGGGGCAGAAGAAGCTCGGAAACCACCTTTTAGTCTTTCCCTCCATTCAGCCTTCATCCTGTTGTACAGGCCAGAAAGCATCTTCGGTGTGCCCCGTGCTGTGGAGGCATGAAAGGGGTGGGCGACGTGAAGCCAGAAGAGTCTGAGAGGTCATCTTGGAATGCTTCGTGGAGGAGGTGGCACTTGAGCTTAGTCTCCGAGTATTCAGTAGGGCACTCTGAGGAAGGTCTCTTCCAGTGGGGGGAGGAGGTGGTGGAAAGTTTGGGGAGAGTCAAGTGTTCAGTGGTTCTGGAGCTTTCTGGTGTACAGCGGCCAGGGGAAGTGGACTGACTGGGAAGGGCCTTTCCTGGCAGCATGGCTGGGACGAGAGTGAAGGCCTCGACTGCAAGTTTTAAGGAAATTTAAGGAGACGCTCACTCTCGGCACCCTGCGCCTACTTAAATGTTAAGCCCTATGTGCTTCACTTGCCTCACCCTAGTTCCAGCCCTAAATGGTAGGTTAAAAATGCAGCCTTTTTCTGGTAAGCACAGGGGAGCCATGGAAGGTTTTTGAGCAGGAGTGTGCTCAGAGTCCATTTTAGGAAGTTTATTGTATGATTTGGTATGAGGGAAGAAGTCTGAGAGACTTGGCTGTGCGGATAGCTCTTTCTCCTGCTACCGAGGGTCCTCTGGGTTCTGGATCCTCTTCAACTTGGGGGTCTTTGACTGCCCTGAACCGTGGTGGCCGATTTAGAACTAGATATCTGTGGGTATCAGATATGATCCCACTTTATCTCATATGTGGGGCTTCCACATGCGGTATCTGACTCAATCTTTTTCCTGTTTTGTATGTGGAAACATATACATATTTTGTATATGTGTAAAAATGGTTTGTGTTTGAGGCCCAGAGAGGTTACATCATTTGCTGGCAAGAGCCAGGGTCTAAACCCAGGGCTTCTATTCTGTTTCACTTGGGCTGCTGAGGAGTAGTGTTCCTCTTTCCTCCTGTAGGAGCTCACTACCAGCCAGGGTGCTCCCTGGGAGTGGCACAAGGACTGACTCACTTCCAGGGTTTCCCCACCACCCTTGTAGCGTACCTTTAGGATCATTTTCAGTACCACTGTTGCTTAAGACAGTAGGTAGAATCAACCTGTCCGGTTCCTAAGATGCTTGGACTTCCTTTGCTGCATCCATGCTTTGCTTACACGCCTCTAATGACACAGTGTTCGCTATCTTTCGAAGTAGCCCATTCCGGTTTCTGCCTGCTCTGTTGATGGTTTCTGTATTGCTATCAAAGTAATACATGCCTATTGTTAAATAGCACAGAAGGGCTTAGAGTAAAAAGCAGTGGTTCTCCGTTCCACCTTTCCCTGGCACCAGAGATAACCACAGTAGCCTCTCAGCCTTTTCTACTAGAATTAAATTCATATTTTAAGTAATATCAACAAATACTGTGTAACACTTTCCATGAACCAGAGCCCACTCTAAAGTTTTGCATGTAATAATTCAACCACAACCCTTGAGATAGGATCTACTGTTACCACTCATTTTATAGATGAGAACATTGAGGCCCAAGAGAGGTTAAGGAACTTGCTCAAGATCTGATTGGTGGCAAAGCTAGGATGTGAACCTAGGTGGTCTCTGAAGTCCATATCCTTTTTTAAAAAAAATTAACATATAGTGTATTATTTGCCCCAGGGGTACAGGTCTGTGAATCATCAGGCTTACATATTTCACAGAACTCACCATAGCACATACCCTCCCCGATGTCCATCACCCAGCCACCCCATCCATACCCTCCTCCCCCGGGCAACCCTCAGTTTGTTTGGTGAGATTAAGAGTCTCTTATGGTTTGTCTCCCTCCTGATCCCATCTTGTTTCATTTCTTCCTTCCCTACCCCCCACACCCCTCCCCCGCACTGCCTCTCAAATTCCTCATATCAGAGAGATCATATGATAATTGTCTTTCTCTGATTGACTTATTTCACTCAGCATAATACCCTCTAGTTCCATCCAGGTCATTGCAAATGATAAGATTTTGTTTCTTTTGATGGCTGCATAGTATTCCATTGTCTATATACACCACATCTTCTTTATCCATTCATCTGTTGATGGACATCTAGGCTCTTTCCATAGTTTGGCTATTGTGGACATTGCTGCTATAAACATTGGGGTGCACATGCCCCTTCGGATCCCTACATTTGTATCTTTGGGGTAAATACCCGATAGTGCAATTGCTGGGTCGTAGGGTAGCTCTATTTTCAACTTTTTGGGGAACCTCCATGCTGTTTTCCAGAGTGGCTGCACCAGCTTGCATTCCCACCAACAGGGTGGGAGAGTTACCCTGTCCCTGCATCCTCACCAGCATCTGTCATTTCCTGACTTGTAATTTTAGCCATTCTGACGTGTGAGGTGGTATCTCATCATGGTTTTGATTTGTATTTCCCTGATGCCGAGTGATGTGGAGCAGTTTCTCGTGTGTCTGTTGGCCACCTGGATGTCTTCTTTGCAGAAATGTCTGTTCATGTCCTCTGCCCATTTTTTTATTGGATTATTTGTTCTTCGGGTGTTAAGTTTGATAAGTTCTTTATAGATTTTGGATACTAGCCCTTTATCTGATATGTCATTTGCAGATATTTTATCCCATTCTGTTAGTTGTCTTTCGGTTTTGTTGACTATTTCCTTTGCTGTTTGTAAAAGCTTTTCATTTTGATGAAGTCCCAGTACTTCATTTTTGCCCTTGCTTCCCTTGCCTTCAGCGATGTTTCTAGGAAAAAGTTGCTGTGGTTGAGGTCGAAGAGGTTCCTGCCTGTGTTCTCCTCAAGGATTTTGATGGATTCTTGTCTCACATTGAGGTCTTCCATCCATTTTGAGTCTATTTTTGTATGTGGTGTAAGGAAATGGTCCAGTTTCAGTCTTCTGCATGTGGCTGTCCAATTTTCCTAACACCATTTGTTGAAGAGACCGTCTTTTTCCCATTGGCGAAGTCCATATTCTTAAAAGCTATGCTTAACTGCCATTTCTTGATTTATCATTTTTTAAAAAGATTTTATTTATTTATTTATTTATTTGAGAGAGAGAGAGAGAGAGAGCGCGTGTGCGCACAAGCAGAGGGAGCAGCAGTGGGAGGCGGAGAAGCGGCCTCCCCGCTGAGCAGGGAGCCTGATACAGGGCTTGATCCCAGGACCCCAGGATCATGATCTGAGCCAAAGGCAGACAGTTAACCAACTGAGCCACTTAGGTACCCCTTGATTTATCATTTGTAGCTTCTAAGATAATATTTGATGATTTCTTGTTAGATTTGTCTCACTTCTACCTCCCTCATCTTCACAAGATGTTTCTTTTCATCTTTTCTCAGTTTTTAAACTGTTCTTAGTTCTTCTGTTAACCTTTGTAGCCTTAGGGAACATGCATACACCATTATTTCCTTTCTCGGGAAGTATGGGTGCTATATCAATTCCTTTTTCAGAGGAGAGTAATAATCCCCTACCCTAACATTTGACTTTCCCTACCCTCTCCTCTGACGCCTGTACTCTTTAGTTCTGCTCTCATGTTCTCAAGGTTAATGACATTTACCTGCTGTTTTTAGGCATAGTTGTCTTCCATGTTTTGGGTGTGCACGGATTCTAAACTTTGAAAGTCTGTATACGGTGTTTTTATTAGTCAAGCTATATAAACGTTCCCTACAAAGCCAAGGAATGTTTAACAGTGCCATATCCTGTCTTCTATTGTTTTTTGTTTTTCCTGGGGTTTCTAATTGCCTTATCTTTTCCCCTCTTATTATTCGCCTTCATTTTCTCATTTTTTTGTTCAGGCTTTCCATCGTGTCAGGTATTTTACCATTCTTTATGTAGAACCGAAATTAATCCTTCTGTAGTTCCCATTTATGGGTCCCTGCTTGACTCCACCATGGCTGACTCCTTCCTTTTCTGCCAGACAATCCTGCAGATGCTGACTGCTTCGAATATTTCAGCTGTATGTTATGTATTCCCCACCTGTCATGGTATCAGGTCCCCCCATATGGTAGACTCGTAAAGCTGTGGAGGGGAGAGAAGGCCATCCTTGTCTTGGGTTACCTGCCATTCACTGGTGTTCTTGGCTGCAGTTTCTGATGACAGATCGAGAGCTGGCACAGGCTGGGGGCCCAGTATATGAAGTCTGTGGTCAGGAACTTGGGACAGGCTTGAGGTTGCTCATCCCCAGGACAAGGACTAGGGGAGAGGATGCCTTCACCCTCCCTAATCTGCCTCCTCTGGTCACAGTCCCAACAGAAGAAAACCAGTCAGATGTTAACCAGTCTTGATTTCCAAGTCGAGTGCCCTGTATCTGCCCTTTTTCTTGCTGACTGCTAAGCCAGGCTGCACTACTGACAGGGATCCCCATTAGCTGAGATGCCCCCTTGGGTAAAGGAGGAAACAGTTACTGACCCCCTAATATATGCTAGGTATCCACGGCTTCCAGAGACCCATATCTAAGTGCTTCCCCAGGCTTTCAAAATACTTTTTCTCCTCTGTAGCAAACATCCTACTCCTTGTCCAGTTTGGAGGTTTCCAGAATAAAACACTGAGGGTTGTTATCCTCTTTCTCCTACCAAGTTCTTCTTCAGGCCTGGAGGTTCTCACCATCTGCTTTTTTTTTTTTTTTTAGATTTTATTTATTTAATTGACAGATAGAGATCCCAAGTAGGCAGAGAGGCAGGCGGAGAGAGAGAGGAGGGTTCCTTTCATCTTTTCATCTATTCTCAACAGGCTCCCTGCTGAGCAGAGAGCCCTGGGATCATGACCGGAGCCGGAGCCGTAGGCAGAGGCTTTAACCCACCGAGCCACCCAGGCACCCTCACCATCTGCTTTTTGAGGCCTTGATTGACAGTCACTAAGGGGAAGGGCAAGTGGACCCTCTAAGACAGTCTCTCAGCTCAGACCCATCTCAGAGCAGTCCTGACAGTGAGTTTCTATCTCCGCATTCCGAAGCCCAGCTAGTCCCTTACTTCTCTTCCTCTCTGTTAATAAGCCCAGGCATTCACCTCCATGCAGTGCCTTCCTCCCTTCCACCCAGGCCTTCGATCCCACTCTCCTGCCTTTCTGCCTTCTTAAATCCACCCATCCATGCTTTCAGGCTCTCTTCCTTCATGCAGGCCTTGCCTGCCGCCCCAGGCCTTACTGACCCTCTCTGTCTTGATCTCTTCATATGGCACATAGTTTATTATAATACAGAAGAGGAAACACAGTTCTTGAGTTCATATAGGTTTGAATTTATGCTGTTCAAGACCCCTGGGTTGCAAGTGACATAAAGCCAGGTGTGAACTATAGTGCCCTTAGCAAAAAGGAATGTATTAGCTCTGTGGCCAACCCGTTACGTGGGGGCTGCCCAGAACTCTCAGGGCTTTTCCTCTTCCTTTCCCCTGGTCTTCTCTGCAGGCTTCGTTCTCGCCTGACTGTCCTTTGAGGCTGGTACCTTGGCCACAGGCAGCCCTGAACTTGCATGCTAAGCACCCCAGAAAGGAAGGCACTCCTTCCACCAACTCTAGTTGGTAAAGTCCTCCTGGGCTGGCTTAGGTCACCGGCACTCTCTGTGGCCAAGGAAACATCATCTCTTACTAGAAGCATGGAGTGGGAAATAGACTGACAAAAGGAGTAGTTGATTTAGAGCCTTGCTATGCGGGTGATTGAAGCACTTAGCCCCTGTAAGCCTCAGTACCCTCATCCATCACACAAGAGAGGACCGACTTCCCGGTATTGCCGCGAACATTCAGTGAGATGATGCAGGTGAAGCACAGTACTGTGGGGGCGGGGGAGTAGCGCGGCACCAAGTACAAGGGACAGGAAGGCTTAGTTGACCCAAGAAAGGCCCACCCTCCACCCATCCCATCTTGCCTGCCATCAGAGGATGATGAGAACCCCCCCCACATCCCCCACACACCCCCTCCCCAGGAGTTTGCCCCTCTGCCTCTGGGCTGCTCTACCGGCCCCCTGTGGGCCATTCTTCAATTGGCTGAAAAGGATTACAGAAGCAACAGTAGCCCTGAGAAGAGGAAGACCTTCATGTCGCCGCCTCTCAGCTAATATCTGCCAGTAAAAAGAATGAATAACTAGTAATTGAAATGGTTTAATTTTTCTTTTAATTTTTCTTTTTTAAAACATTTTGTTTATTTATTTGAGAGAGAGAGAGCATAAGCAGGGGGCGCAGCAGAGGGAGAGAGAGAAGAAGGCTCCCCACTAAGCAGGGAGCCCAATGTGGGACTCGATCTCAGGACCCTGGGAACATGACCTGAGTCGAAGGCAGATGCTCAACTGAGTGAGCCACCCTTTTTTTAATTAAAAGATTTTATTTATTAATTTGACAGACACAGAGAGAGGGAACACAAGCAAGAGGAGTGGGAGAGGGAGAAGCAGGCTTCCCTCTGAGTGGGGAGCCTGATGTGGGGCTCAATCCCAGAACCCTGGGATCACAACCCAAGCCGAAGGCAGATGCCTAACACCTGAGCCACCCAGTCGCGCCTTGAGATGGTTCTAAATCAGCCAGTAATCGCTAAGCACAAACCAGGAGCTGAGCTGAGAACTCTCAGCAACATGGGCCACTCACACAGCTCCGTTCTTGGCGCATTGAGAACAATAAAACTCACACCTCAATCATCTTAGGAAGTAGCAGGCTGCTTGCCGCTGGAGGCATGCAAGATGTGTCAGGACATTGTAAAGAGGATTTGGACTGTGATGAGAGGTGGGTGAGTTGAGAGAACCTTAAAAGTCACTCATCATCTTGAGGGGCTGGGTAAAAGCAAAACTCCAGGCCCATGATGTCATGGCTAGACTGAGAGTTAGAGATGATGCACCCCTATAGTGGGGCTGGTGGGGCTTTGGGAAAAGCCGCATCAGGGAAGCCTTCCTGGAGGAAGTGGCATGTGCACTGGCCTTTGAACTTCAGCTCCTCTGCAAAAAGCAGTTGGCTAACTGCTTTGCAGGAGGGACAGGCATCCAAAGACATGTTGTCAGATGGCATTCCACTTCTTGCCGTGTGTCTTGCATTAGCTTGTCCCCTGCTGGCTCGTTGCACTGTGGTTTAGTGAGAAGAGTAACACCAGCAGCCCCGTTCTTACTTCCTCCTCGTTCGGGAACTGAGGGAAAGGGCCTGTTGATCCCAGTCTGGGGTCTATAAGGCTGATCTCACTAGAGGGCTCTGACTGGTTCAGCTCAGGTCACATGCCCATCTGGTGGCCCAGTCACTGTGGACATGATGGTGGCAGAGATGCCGTGGAGCCTAATCATTTAGGCCTAAATATTTGGCTGTGTAAAATGGGGGTAATATTCCAACCTGCAGGGATTTCTGTGAGGATGAAAAGAGTTAAATGAGATAATGCCTGCCACGTGCCTGGACTATAATAAGTGTTTGATACAGGCTCACTGCTGTCACCCATCATCATGATTCCCATTCTTCACCCACACTGCATCCTTTGACCCATTTCCTTTTCCGGTCATTCTGCAGGTGAGAGTGCCCCGTTCTGGTTTGGCAGTTTCCTGAATCACAGAGAAGCTAAGCTAACATCAGGGCAGCCAGAATCCATTCCCAGGACACGTTCCCCTTGGCCTCGGAGCCAGTATTTCCAACAAAACTCTTCCTAGAAATTAATCCTCCTGCCCTCCAATCCCCATACCTCTGTGTGGCTCATCTCAGGGGGAAGATTCTCATGGGAGGGGAGAAGAGCTGACCCCTATTGTCTGGTTCCTTCCCAGGCACAGTGCCGTCAAGGCTGACGAAGCTGCTGGCACAGCTCCCTTCCACCTTGACCTCTGGTTCTACTTCACCCTGCAGAACTGGATTCTGGACTTTGGCCGCCCCATTGCCATGGTGAGTGTGAAGCCATGGACAGAGCCCCTGTCAGCAGCGAGGACACAGTGTGACTTGAATTAGCCAAGTGACCTTAGACAAGTCACTTTCCCTATAGTAAACTGCAAGAATAGGCCTGGATGCTTACATGTCCTTTAGCTCTGTGACTGTGTCAGCAAGCGGGGGTCCTGGGGGCCTGCATAGTCATATTGTGCCCTGACTCTCACAGGGGAACTGGTGGCTCTAAAGAGGAATGCTGTGCACTCCCCACCCCAACGCCTTACACCCGGGTTTAACCATATCACCAAGTCATACCATGGGGTGTGGGAAAGAAAGCAGAGCATCCCCGTGGCCTTGGTATAATACTGTTTTTCTGGAGGTAAAGAGTATAGGCTGATCTTGCATGCTATGTGTGACTCTGAGCCTCAGGTCAGTCTTAGTGCTATCTCATGCCACCATCCCCTTCCCTCCAGGATATTCCATGCATCAGTGGACAGTGGTGGCCTCCAGAGAGATTAATACTGGAAGAGCACCCAAGCCCCTGGCTTGTAATAAGGACATAGGTAGATAGATAAATAGGTAACAGAATGTGAACGAATTGAGTGAGACACCACCATGAACCAAGTTGTTAATTTGTGTGTGCGTGTGTGTACAATAATCATATCCAACACTGGAACAGACATCTTGCACCTGCTAGTGATAAGCAAATTAGCAAAGCCCTTTTGGAAAGCAGTTTGTCAAGATGACACCTAGACACCTAGAACAGTGCCTAGCATAAGTGCTTCCTGGGTTTTTATTTTTATTATTTCTTTTAAGATTTATTTATTTTAGAGAGAGAGTACACTGGTGTGCACACATGAGTGGGGGAGGGGCAGAGGGAAAAAGAGAATCTTTTTTTCCTTTTTTTTAATTAACATATAGTGTATTATTTGTTTCAGGGGTACAGGTCTGTGATTCATCAGTCTTACACAGTTCACAGCTCTCACCACAACACATACTCTCCCCCATGTCCATCACCCAGCCACCCCATCCTTCCCCCACTGCTCCCCGCCAGCAACCCTCCATTTGTTTCCTGAGATTAAGAGTCTCTTATGGTTTGTCTCCCTCCCCAGTCCCATCTTGTTTTATTTTTCCCTCCCTTCCCCTATGATCCTGTCTTGTTTCTCAAATTCCTCATATCATTGAGATCCTGTGATAATGTCTTTCTCTGATTGACTTACTTCGCTCAGCATAATACCATCTAGTTCCATCTACGTTGTCGCAAATGGCAGGATTTCATTTCCTTTGGTGGCTGCATGGTATTCCATGTATATACACCACGTCTTCTTTATCCATTCATCTGTTGATGAACATCATAGTTTGGCTATTGTGGACATTGCTGCTATAAACATTCGGGTGCATGTGCCCCTTCGGGTCACTACATTTGTATCTTTAGGGTAAATACCCAGTAGTGCGATTGCTGGGTCGTAGGGTAGCTCTATTTTCAACTTTTCGGGGAACCTCCATGCTGTTTTCCAGAGTGGCTGCACCAGCGTGCATTCCCACCAACAGTGTAGGAGGGTTCCCCTTTGGGAGAGAAATAATCTTAAGTAGAATCCTTGCTGAGTATGGAGCCTGATGCAGAGCCGATCTGAGGAGCCCGAGATCATGACCAGAGCTGAAATCAAGAGTCAGTCTCTCAACCGACTGAGCCACCCAGGCACCCCTCAATGCACTTTTATTGAAGGAACACGATCATCATAATAATAATGGGAAAGTAGAAATAGTGGTTAACGTACACTGAGTGCTCACTCTGTTCTAAACTCTGTATGTGTTTAAACTTCCTGAATCCTCAGCTCAGCCCTCTTACTAATCTCAATTTTATAGATGGAAAGATTCAGGATAGAGAGGGCAAGACCCTGGCTCACTGGCTTAGGGTCACCCAAGTAACATGTGGAAAAGCCAGCATCAGCACATAGGTATCCAGCCCCAGAGCCTACCCCCTTCCTGTCATGGATATATCCAGAACCCTAAGATGTTCATCCCTTCTGACCCAGTAAGACCCCTTCCAAGAATCTGCCCTGAAGGTGTAATCAGCAAGAAGACAATAGCCTCTCTACTGCAGTGTTGCTTACCTCGGAGGTGACTTCAGTGTCCAGCGGTAGGGACTGAGTAGAACAACTTTAGGTATCTGGTATAGAAAACATTATCTGGCCATGACACAGGAATCCTAGGTGCCCTAGAGCAGCCCTAAGTGCCCTAGAGCAGCCAACAACCCAGGTTGCTCTAGGAGAGGAGAGGTGTGGCAGTGGTGTGCATAGCACCTGACTGCGGGTCAGTGACAGTCTCAACACCTGTACACACGGGTCAGAGACTGGAAGGGGATTACGGAAAGCTCTTCTGGGGTGCCTGGTTGCTCAGTCTGTTAGGCAGCTGGCTCTTGCTTTTGGCTCAGGACAGGATCTCGGGGTCCTGGGATCGAGCCCCGCATCAGGCTGTACACTCAGCTCAGAATCTGCTTGGGATTCTCTCCCTCCCCCGGCTCATTCTTGCATGCGCGTGCGCGCACTCTCTCTCTCAAATAAATAAATATTTAGAAAAAATTTTGAAAAAAGCCGTTCTGGCTGCACTGTGGGTTTGGGGTTGATGCTGATTCTCCTTCCTGCAGACTCTGTAAGGCTTACGTGCTGTTTAAGTGTGGGAGAAAGAAAAAAAACAGCCAGGAGTCAGGGTACCTGGTTACCTCTGCGGGTGATTTTAGGCAAGTCACTGTCTGCTGGCCTTTGGTTCTCTCATCTGTAAGGAGGCTGGTTGGCCTGGCTGCTCCCAGCCCCGTTCCGGCATGAAGTCCCACGGATTGGGGGCCAAAGGAGCTGCCCATCACACTGATGCTTTGGAGAGGGGAAAATGAGGCCTAGGGCGGGCTCAGGGCTGTCCCCTGCTCTCACTCCTTAGGACTCAGCCACAGCTGGCCATGGTGGTCTCCTGCAGGATGAATCCCTTCCGCAGCCTGCCCAGCAACATCAGTGGGCTTGTTAGGAGGGTATACATTTGAGAAGCCCATGTATACACTGGAGCTTTTGAAATGTAGGCACGACATTCCCGAATCTGTAATAATGAAAACCGAACTCGTGCAAGTTATAAAAGTAGTATGTAGTGGTTGTAACAAGGCAGTAATGCCTGGGTATATGCAGAAGTGTTAGAGCCTCCCTTTCTAGGCCTACCCCTGACGTTTGGAGGCATAGGCACCCGCCCCTTTCTCTCCTTCTGCAAACATATTATATATTCTTTTTCCTTTTCTAACAGAAATGAGATCTTACTTTATGCCTTGCTCTACAACTTGCTAGCTTTACCTTGGAACACACGATGGCTGTCTTCCCATGTCGGTAGCTATCAGGTGTCATTTCTGATAATGGCTATTTCACCTGCTGTAGCAAAGATGCCCTGTGATGTATGGAGCTTGTCCTCGTTAGTTGAAGAGTCAGCCTGTCCCTAGTATTTTGCTATCACAAAGAGTATTTCAGCCATTGTATATATCTTTTTTTAAAGAAATTTAAGTATAATTGACATACAGTGTTACGTTAGTTTCAGGTGTGCAACACAGTGACCTGACAGTTCTGTACATCATGCCATGCTCGCCACACTAAGTGTGGGCACCGTACTGCACCATTTCGGCACTACTGACTCTGTTCCTTATGCTGTACTTTTCAGCCCCGTGGCTTATGTATTTGATAACTGGAAGTTTGTGCCTCCTAGTCTCCTCCACCTGTTTTGCCCATCCCCCAACTTCCTCTCCTCTGGCAATCACCAGTTTGCTCTCTGTATTTATGATTCTGTTTCTGTGTTTGTTTGTTCATTGAAATTTGTGTTTTTTTAATACCACATATAAGTGAAATCACATGGCATTTTTCTTTCTCTGACTTATTTCACTTGGCATAATACCCTCTAGGTCCATCAATATTGTTGCAAATGGAAAGATTCTTTTTATGGCTGAGTAATGTGTTGGCAAGGATGAGATGAAAAGGGAACCCTCATGTGTTGTTGGTAGGAATGCAAATTGGTGCAGCCACTGGGGAAAACGATATGGAGTTTCCTAAAAAAAATTAAAAATAGAAATGCCATACAATCCAGTAATTCCATTACTGGGTATTTACCCGAAGAAAATGAAAACCCCAATTCAAAAAGGTATGTACCCCGCTATTTATAATAGCCCAATGATGGAAGCACCCAAAGTGTCCATCAATAAATGGATGGATAAAGAAGATGTGATATATATATCTAACATATCTATCTTGATATAGATGAAGATACAGAGATACACACCGAGTAAGAAAGAAAGAGGAACAGACCCTGTGTCCTGGGAGTTTTATATTTGCGGGTTAGTTTTAACAAGCATGGCTTTTTTTTTTTTTTTAAGATTTTATTTATTTATTTGACAGAGATCACAAATAGGCAGAGAGGCAGGCAGAGAGAGAGGAAGGGAAGCAGGCTCCCCGCTGAGCAGAGAGCCCGATGTAGGGCTCAATCCTAGGACCCTGGGATCATGACCTGAGCAGAAGGCAGAGGCTTTAACCCACTGAGCCACCCAGCATGGCATTTCTGAGTTAAAAGAGATAAACATTTATTTTTTTTATTTTTTAAAGATTTTTTTTTTCATTATTTGACAGAGATCACAAGTAGGCAGAGGCAGGCAGAGAGAGAAAAGGAAGCAGGCTCCCCGCTGAGCAGAGAGCCTGATGTGGGGCTCGATCCCAGGACCCTAGGATCATGACCTGAGCTGAAGGCAGAGGCTTTAACCCACTGAGCCACCCAGGCGCCCCAAGAGATAAACATTTATAATTTGGATTGAAACTTGTAGTCATTGCCTGTGTTCTCAATGAACAGATCCTGGAAGTATAGTTTTGGGGGTCATAATATGTTTTGACTTTGCACGGGGGTTTTCACACTGACCCTGACAAGACCAGGACTCACTGGGGCAGACCAGTAAGAGAGGGCTTCCCAGGCAGAAGAACTGCCCCTGGCCTGCCTCCTATTTCAGGGAAGGTAAGAAAGAACTGAAGCTACTTTGTAGGACTAACTTACTTTCTCCTTGTTTCCTAATGTACGCTTTTGACCTGATTTGGAAGCAGTCCGCCTGCAGTCCATCTGCTCAGTGCATACAGCATGGGGCCTCGTGGTCAGGAGACCTTTTCATCATCATAGGACCTGAATGGCCAGACCCCTAAGGGCCCAAGGAGACCACCTAGGTCACATCTCTTATGTTGCAGATGGGGAAACCAAGGCCTGTAGAAGAGAAGGACTTGCCAGACGTCACCATGAAGTCCCAAATCAGCCTCCAGCTCCCAGACCAGTACCCAGGGACATTCATTTAGTACCCATTGAGGGTGGGGCCCAGAATCAGGCCCTGGATTTGCATCTACTAGTGTGCCTGGGGACAGGTCCATTTACCTTCTTTGGGACTCAGCTTCTCTGTCTGGGTACCCCAGGGCTGCCCAGATGATCCCCATAGATCACAAAAAGAGTTAAGTGTGTGTGGAGGAGTTGGGGGCTGACTCCCTGAGGGCCTTGTGGGGCTCTGCCTGGGTGAACACCATTCCTCCCTTTGCTCCCCAGCTGGTGTTCCCTCTCGAATGGTTTCCACTCAACAAGCCCAGCGTGGGGGACTACTTTCACATGGCCTACAACATTATCACGCCCTTCCTCCTGCTCAAGGTACAGTCCCCGGCTCCCTGCCCTCCCTTCCCACCTTCATTCCTTCCTTCTTCTCTGGCAGGAAGCTGGTGCCAAGCCCTGGGAGTCCTGGAAGCAGATATGGCCTACCCTGCCCGAGCTTGGGGGGTGAAGGCTGTGATCAAGGGACACACCAAAGGCCTGGCCAGGAGGGATGGAGAAGCCCTCCCCAAGGAGGGATGTTTGATTTGGGCTTCAGCTTTGTGTGCGGGGATGATGTAGGAGAGGTGGTCAAGCAAAAGGACCTGAAGACAGGGTCATGCTGTGACATTTGGGGAGGCTGAGGCAAGGGAGTGAGTGGGTTGGTTGTCTGGGGAGAAGTCGGGAAGGCAGGTAGGGTCCAGGTGGAAGCAATAGAGGTGACCTCTACTCTGGCCTGGGGATCCGGGACTTGGAGATGACCCTGGGAGCACAGAGCTAGCCAGGGCTGCTGGCTTTGCAGGTTCAAATAAGGGCTCTTAAAACAACTATCACCACCTACCATCCCCATCATTTTGTTTCTAGAAAAATGTGTCTAATCACCAAAAGTAAGGGTATAAAATTAGAATTCAGAGGAGTCTTAAAGTTTCCTTTCCAAAGCATCCTCCCCACCCCACTTCCCTGACATTTTCTTGGTGTTTACCATGGACTAGTGGCTCCAAAATGAGAGGGTCCTGCAGCGCTGAACCAGCCCAGCCATCCAGAGGCCCGGCTGAGAGTGGGGAGAGGGCCAGGCCTGGGTGCCTGTGCTGAAGGCCTGGCTGTCAGTGCCAGCACAGGGTCAGTGTGCGACCTTCGGCAGTCAGTTCATCCCTCTGCAGCTGGGGGTGCTCTCTGTGGAACGGGGGTGCTGGTTCCCAACTCATGCTGGCTTCACGGGGATCCTAGGAGACTGTGGAGGCTGGCTCAACCTGCTGCAGGGACCCAGTTTCGGAGTGACTCTTTAGTGGTGTTATCCATCGGACCCCAGGCATGGGGGAGGGACGAGGGGCTGTCTCCTGTTGTGGTGGAGGCTGAGTCACGCTCTCGGGCGCCCCTCTGACCCCAGCTCATGGAGCGGTCCCCTCGCACGCTGCCACGTGCCATGATCTACCTCAGCATCATCACCTTTGTCATGGGCGCCAGCATCCACCTGGTGGGTGACTCCGTGAACCACCGCTTGCTCTTCAGCGGCTACCAGCACCACCTGTCCGTCAGGGAGAATCCCATCATCAGGAACCTCAAGCCAGAGACGCTGGTGAGCCACCCTCCCCAGCCCCACATGTAAAGCCTTGTTGGCAGTCTGTCCCGGAGGCCAGAGAGCTGGCCCCCAGCGGTCACTGCACCTGACCCACTAAGCCTTCTGCTAGGGGAGGACACTGTACCCACTGAGCTATGATGCCTCTGACAGTTCGGGAGGGGGCCCTGACTGGCTGCCACCCAGGCGCCCTGCAGTAGAGGGCAAGACTGAGGGTGGGGAATGAGGGCTGCTGGGGGAAGGGCCGGGCCCGGGCAAGGGTGGGCCGCGTGGGCCCCAGCACCCGCCTTGACGCACCTGCTGCTCTCACCTGCCATGCCCACTGCCCTCAGATCGACTCCTTCGAGCTGCTCTACTACTACGACGAGTACCTGGGCCACTCCATGTGGTGAGTGTCGGGGCCAGGAAGGCAGCGCCAGCCGGGCTGTCTCCCCAGGGGCCCTGGGTCCGGCCCCAGAGGACACTGCACGAGCCTCTGGGTGTGGGGTGCCAGGCCCTCCCTGTCCCAGCGTGACGGTGCCTGCGGCGGCCACTAGAGGGCAGCAAGCGGCTGGCCCTCCCTGGCCCTGCCGGAGCCTGCGGGGGAGGGGCGCGGCACAGGCTGGGCCCCGCCCCTCTCGCTGCCGTGGGGTGTGGGTGGGCACCGAGGCGGGGGCCGCACTGGGTCAGGACGCGGTCTTTGGGAGTGGAGGTGGGGGTGAAGCCGAGGAGGGCCAAGTGGACTGATGGGGGGAGGGGCTGTCTGCCCTGCTTCTGAAACTCCTGGGAGGGGCCCCCTCCACCCCAAAGGCGGTGGAAACCTCCCAGCTGTGCGCAGCCGCGGGAGAGCCAGGGCCCCAGGCGCCCGCAGCTGTCTGTTCTGTCCTACATCTTACAGGAGGAGCTGGGGCCAGTGAGAGGGTGTGGGGGATGTGGGGGAGCAGCCAGCAAGCTCTGCACCCCGTACCCTCAACCCTGAGTGAGGTGGCTGGCTCCTGTCCTACCAGGCCTACAGTCGTGTTTCCAGGATCCATTTATTATTTTTTTTAAAGATCTTATTTATTTGACAGACAGCAAGAGAGGGAACAGAACCAGGGGGAGTGGGAGAGGGAAAAGCAGGCTCCCCCCGCTGAGCAGAGAGCCCAATGCAGGGCTTGATCCCAGGACTCTGGGATCATGACCTGAGCCAAAGGCAGATGCTCAACTGACTGAGCCCCCAGGCCGTCCTCCAGGATCCACTTTAAACAGGCAAACTTGGTCCTCTTGGCAGTGAGTCCAGGGGCCCTGGACAGGCCTTTGCCCAGAGATGTTTGGGAAGGGAAGAGAGGGTGGGCTGGGAGCAAATGGGGGCTGTGGGAGGGGCACACAAGGTAGCTGAGAGAAGGGGGTGTGGGAGAGGCAGCCTTTGTGGAGAGGAGAGGCTGGTACTTTTGGGTAAGATGCAGTGTGTGGGTAAGGGGTGAGGCTCTGGGTTGCGTATGGGTGAGGGGACTTCACAGAGCCCCTTGGAGGACCCCAGCAGGTATGGTTCTCTCTCATTCTTTTTTTTTTTTTTTTTTTTAACCTGGGCCTGGAGGCTCTCCCTCCTCAGCCCTGCTGGGTATACCTCTTCCGGGTGTGCGGAGTGCCAGCATGAGACGGGCACCCCTACACACACACCCATGTGAAGTGAGGTCGTCAGGGCCGTGTGGGAGGGTCCTCCCCGCACCACAGCCTGTGAGACACTGATTTGCATATGCCAGGGAGCAGGCCTCATATTCCTGCTTCCTTCCTGCACACCCGCCCCCAGAGGCCCCAGCACGGGGCAGTCTGGTGGGGATGAGTGGCCGGGCCTAAACCAGGCGTTTGGTAAACCATGATGCGGCCTGCGTGGAATGGTGCAAGGACAGGTGGGGACGAGGGCTGGGTGGAGGGGCGACGGGGCGGCTGGGCAGGCCTCTGACGCCCCGGCCTCCCTGTCGCAGGTACATCCCCTTCTTCCTCATCCTCTTCCTGTACTTCAGTGGTTGTTTCACTCCCACCAAAGCCGAGAGTTCAATGCCAGGGGTGGCCCTGCTCCTGGTGGTGCCCAGTGGCCTGTACTATTGGTGAGTGGACCTTGGACCTGGGGGTGGGGGGGGCACTGAGGGAGCCCGGTGGTGAAAAAGTCCTCTTGACCACAGTCCTGCTCTGGGCTCCTGCTTCCACCTGGGTCTAGTGGGGATGGTGACAGTGCTTTGTGGCAGCTTCTCTGTCACCAGGAAGCCAAGTCTGAGTGCTCCTCTCCATTCTCATGCTCCTCTGCCCTACCTCCTGGAACCCCAGTGCCACTGGGGAGTCCAGTAGAGCCCACCTGTAATATCGAGCCCATCAAGTCCTGTGGGCCTGTTTCCTCCTTTGTGACATTGGGACAGCCCTTGCTTGTCTCCCTCTCAGGAGATGGTGAGGATCTAGGAGGAGGAAAAGAGGCTTCATAAACTATAAAGCACTATGAGGGTGACAAGGACAGATAAGGGGGAAGTTTCTTGTCTGGTTTCTTTTTTTTTTTTTTTTTTTAAGATTTTATTTATTTATTTGACAGACAGAGATCACAAGTAGGCAGAGAGGCAGGCAGAGAGAGAGAGAGAATGGAGGAAGCAGGCTCCCTGCTGAGCAGAGAGCCCAATATGAGGCTCGATCCCAGGACCCTGGGATCATGACCGAAGCCTAAGGCAGAGGCTTAACTCACTGAGCCACACAGGCTTCCCTGGTTTCTTTGTGCCTTTCAGAGCTCTTCTCCCATTTCAGAGGACTTAGCCTCAGCCAGGCCCTACGTCTGTCACTTCTGCCCTGGGGACAGGCTTTCCCTGAGCATTGGGAAAGGACTGGACCCTTCTCTGATGGGAAACTTACCTTAGAATGAAAAGGGCCTTCTTTCCTAGGGCCAGTTTCCTAGATCTGCTCCTGGGTCTGTCCCCGGCTGGGTGGAGAGGGCCGACCAGGACCAATCTGTATGCCCCTGAGGACAGGATGAAAAAGAAGGAGTGGCAACCACAGCAAGAAGGAAAGTGGTTTGACACGCAGCATGTTAGTGCTGAGACAACCACAGCAGGAACAGCAACCATTTGTTGAACAACGTGCTTTTCCAAGTGAGAGGCATACACAGCTCTTGTCAGTGTCTTATGTCTCGAGAGATAGGGCCATTTATTCCCCCTTTCTAAGTAAGAACGCAGAGGCTCCAGGATGTCATGCAAATTCCCCAAGGTCCCACAGCCACTGAGTTGCAGAGCTGTCATTCCTTGAACGGAATGGATCAGTGTCATGTTCCTCTCCAGAGGCAGGGGCATGGACCAAACAGCCTCTCAGAAGCCCTCCAACAGATGTGCTAGCCAGAGGCCAGCCCACTCCCCTGCCCTGGCCATGTGCTAGGTACTGCCTTAGGAGCTACAGAGAGCCCTGGGAGACCTGAGACGGTCCCAGCCGTCAAGGAGACGGTAATGACAGCCTCCGTGAATTGCAGCTGCATTCCCAATCTCAAATGCCTGTAGGAAATAGGCCAGTAACAGAAAGGCATCAAGCAGGCATCCAGTAAGGCAATAGGGAATGGTGGAGACTGTGGCAAAGAGAACCATTCTCTTTCTAGTGGGGACAGCTGCTTTCTCCTCTAATCAGTTGTTGTCGAGTGGGAATAGAGGCCTGATGTGACCAGAGAAACCAGAAATCCACATTTTCTCCTATTACGTTTATGTTGGTAACAAACTCAACATTTTTGAAAACAGCCACTGTACAAGCCAAATCAGTATGGGCTGTGGCTCCAAGTAGTACGCTTCCCTCCACCTCGCCTGAGATGAGCTCCTCTACCTGACCAGGGGGCAGCCTGGAATGTGGGTACAGGGAGGGAGGCCGGGCAGAGAGAGCGCCGGCCTCACTGCCCCCACTGGCCTCTTCAGGTACCTGGTCACCGAGGGCCAGATCTTCATCCTCTTCATCTTCACCTTCTTCGCCATGCTGGCCCTCGTCCTGCACCAGAAGCGCAAGTGCCTCTTCCTGGACAGCAACGGCCTCTTCCTCTTCTATTCCTTCGCCCTCACCCTCCTGCTTGTGGCGCTGTGGGTCGCCTGGCTGTGGAATGACCCTGTACTCAGGAAGAAGTACCCGGGTGTCATCTATGTCCCTGAGCCGTGGGCCTTCTACACCCTCCATGTCAGCAGCCGACGCTGAGTCCCTGGCACCAGCCATTCACCAGTGCTCTGCCTGGCGGGCGATGGGCCAGAGAGCGTGTCTGAGCAGGGAGTGTATGTGTGCATGTGTACGTGTGCATGTGGGTGCCTACGTGTGTATCTGCCCGTGTGTGTGCAGTTGTAACACAGGGATACGCGTTGTGCACATGGATGGGATGTATGTGTGTGTAACTGGTAACTGAGAACATTGGTAAGGATACACGTGCACAAGGACAAGTTGTGTGTGTGTGTGTGTGTGTGTGTGTGTGTATGCACACACACACACATGTACAGAGTGCCCCATTGTTTATATGCAGTTATTTGGATCAAGTTTCTCTTTGGTTTGGATCTTTTCAGGCTGGGCTATAGTTTGAAACCGTATGTCCAGGCCAAGGTCTGGGCCCTGCCTTCTCGTGCATCTGACTCGAGTGGGACACTCTCACTTACTGCTCAGGGCTGGTGTCTTCTTGGGGAGGCTTCTGGTAGCCATGCTGGGTAGGCCTGGTGGGCAGGGCAGCAGCCATGAGGGGACTGGGCTTGTCTTCTGCCACCAGGCTCACCCCTCAGACCTGCCCTGACCCTGGAGGCCAGGTTACAAAGGTTAAGTTAACTTCCTGCATATTGTTGAGCAAAGCACATCCCTCCTCTGGGCCTCCGTTGCACTAGCTGGGACCTGGGCCCAAAGTGTGTCTGGTTGTTGGGGCAGCCTTGGGATGGACAGATCATTCTCTCCTGTCACTGCCCTCTGCTACTCCAGGAAGGGTATGTGCAACGCAGATCCTCACCCAAACTCACGTCATGTGGAGTGCTGCACCGCCCCGACCCTGGAGAGCCAGAGGCCAGCCCACTCCCCTGACCGCCGTTTCCCTCTGCCAGAAGCTGTCTCCCTGCTCCCCACCAGAACTGTGGCACCCTTTCCTGGCACCCTGACCAGGAGGTCTGAGCTGCAGCTGAACGCTGCGTTCTCAAACACTTGCAGTGTGCCCTGAGCCCCATTATAGGGCCAGGAGGCCTTTGGAGGATGTTGGGAGGGGGATCTGGAGGCTCTCCCCCATAGACTTATCTCAGCCTGAATCTCATGCCTTCTGCTCACAGCCCTGCTTCCAGAAAAAGGAAGCTTCATTCCCAGTAGGGAATGAAGGGCCCACCTTCCCCCGGGTCTTGGGGCCAGATCTGCCCACACAGCTGCCCGCACCAGTCTCATTTTCCAGCCAGTGCTGGCTCGGTGAGCTTGTGGATCTCAGGGGGCCTCCTGCCTTGCCTTCCCCAGGCCCTGCCTCCTCTCCTGTGTTCTCAGGGATCCCCATGCCTCAGATGCTCCTTTCATGTTGGGGTCCCTTAGCAGCCCCCTTAGAGGTCCCCAGCCCCGGGTCCCATAGGCAGAGAGAGGTGTGAATAAAGACCAGTGTGGAGCCCAACCTGGCTGGTGGCTGCTGCTTGCTTTGCGTGTGAATTTGGGCAGCAGGAGGGAGTTCCCTGGGGCAGGGGAGAAAGTGGCTGGTGTGAGGCCTGTCAGTGGCTGAGAGCAGGTGCCACTACTGCCCACTGGCCATCCGTGCCACCCTGCGGGATGCTGGGGGTGGGGGACAAGAAGGGCTTCTCCCAGTCAGTCCCAGCTCTCTTCAGAGAAGTCTGGGGCATATGGGGAGTGGGGAGCCAGGAGAGAACCTCTCCAGGCCTGCCTCTCAGAGATGGCCCCTCAGGCCTCCCAGCTGCACTGTCAGCCCATTCCAGAGGCTGAAACAGAAAGGTACCCTTTGGGGGGAGGTGGGGAGTCAGGTTTGTTGGAGGTTGGCCCTGAGCCTTGGGCAAGTCGCTTACTCCCTCGACATCTCAGACTCACCACCCATCTCCTGGGACTTACCAGGGGCTCCTGTTAGCAGACAGCACAGGAAGGGCCATGCTGGACAGGAGACGTTCGATGGTCGCATCGTCAGAGGCTGTGCCCCCACTGGCCCAGCAACCTCGCCAGATCCCTTCCCTGCCTCGAGGACACTTCTTCCACCCGCGTCTCTGGCCAGTTCTCCACAGCAAGACTTGCTGGGTGTCTTATGAGCAGGGACAGGCCTGGTCACGTGGGGCCTGAAGCTCATACAACTTGTGGGGAGGGCAGTCCTTGATAAGAAAACAGAAAAAAAAAAAAAAAGTGAATAAAAAATTAGGTGTGAGGGGCACCTGGTGGGGGGCTTAGTTAAGTGTCTTAACTCTTGATTCTGGCTTTGGTCACGAGCTCAGGGTCTCCCTGCCCCTCCCCCCACCCCAGGGCATGCTCGCTCTTGGTCTCTCTGTCTCTGTCTCTCCATCTCTCTCTAAAATAAATAAACCGTAAAAAAAAAAAATAGGTATGAAAATGAATGTTTAGAATGATTTCGTGTCCCACTTGACTGCAATCTCTTTAGGCAGTTTGCCCAAAAGAGTTTGCTGGAAACATTTCCCTAGAAATACTTCTTAACTGCAACCTGGCTTCACTCCACCTCGCTGACTGGAGGCCAGTGGTTCTCAAAGTGTGGCCCTGACTGGCAGCATCGGGATGGCAGAAGAAAATACAAATTCTTGTCCCATTCTAACGGCCACATCAGAAACTGGTGATGGGGCCCTTCAGGGGAACGAAGTCTCAGCCCCAGGCGGTATTGGAGGGGCTGTTTTTCACGTTGAGTTGAAGGAAGCCCTTCTTGTCCCCCACCCCCAGCATCCCACGGGGTGGCACGGATGGCCAGTGGGCAGTGGTGGCACCTGCTCTCAGCCACTGACAGTTGAAGTGTAGCAGACACACGATGCAATGAAGTTCGCAGCTCCATGGATTTTTGTAGCGACCCCTCGTGGAGCCAACCCTCCCAAGCAGGTGTTTGGGATCACGCACTGACCTAGACCCAAGAAAATACCTTGTCTCCCCCATGAGCTCCATCCCAAACACAGGGTCATTCTGAGCGAGCACTCTGGCCTGGGCCCCCCTGGGGACCTCCCCACAAACCTCAGCTCTGCCCCCCCACCTGCCCCCACACACACCCCTGGCCTCCAAGGCCCCGCCTGACTTTGCTTCACTTCCCCCACAAGGCTGCCAGCAGAAGCTCCCTCCTGTCCCGCCTCCTGTATCCCCCAACAGAGAGGAGTCAAATCCCCCAGCTGAAATTCTCTGGGTCTAGAAACTGATGAGAAGAGGTGACTCAGGAAACACCATTTTGGAGAACAGAAAATCTTCCATGCGGAGGCGGTCAGGAGAGGAGGGAGGGAGAAAAGACCAAGGGCAGGCCCCCCTGTCCACGTTGTACGCGTTAGCAAGAGGGCCCCCTTCCTGCAGGCACGCGCAGCCACTCACCAGGTCCCAGGCGTCCCCTGGGCGGGGGTCCCTTGTGCAGAGCACAGCCTGTTCAGCCCTCCACGGCAATCCTGACAAGGCAGGGGGTGCCCTGGAGTTGGAGCCCCACAGACGGAGCCAGCAGCTGTGGAGGAGAGCCAGGGTGAGACCCAGCTGTGCCCAGTGCGCAGCCCCAGGGAACCACCCCACTTCCGGGGCAAGGACATGGGGACAGTCAGCAGCTTCTACGAGGGGGGGCAAGGGGGCGCCTGTGGGGAGCAGAAGAGGGAAATGAAGAAGAGGAGCCCTTCTGGCTGGGGAAAGTCACCTAAGAGGCCTCCCTGTGAGCCTGCAGGGTAGCTCAACTGTGAGGCCTGGGACCCCAGTGCACACACCCACCCCACCGCTACCCTCAGGGTGTCCGGAAGGAAGGAAGGGGTGAACCGACTGTGTGCTGGCCCTTTGATTCTCTCAACAGCCCTGTGATGAGGCCGCGTGCAGAAATTGAGGCACAGTGCAGTGAAATGATGCGCCAAGGTCACTCAGCAAATGGATCTAAGGGAAGGACTGGACTCCAGCCCAAGAGCACGGAGCCTGGGCCCCTTCTCCCAAGGGCATCCCAAGGCCTTGGCAGTGGGGGCGCCCCCCATTGCTTGGCTGTGCCATCATGGGAGGGGTCCTCTCCGGCCCAGAGGGTGCTGTCCGATGGGTCTTCTGTAATCAGCCCCATCTTAGCCCCAGGGAAGAGACAGGAAAGACCCCCGAGGCACCCCCTTTCTGGGTATCACCAGCCCCACCCCGTCCATGGAGGGCCCCCTAGGAAGGAACTGCAGCATGTGTCCATTTGCCAGAGAGCACCAGCTTCCCAAAGGAAGCAGGACAAGTGGTGGGGGGGGCCCTTCTGCACCCCCATTGACTCACAGCGAAACCTGCGCCGCCAGCCGGGCATCCGAGGCGCAGGGGAAGTTGGAATCTGACCCGGGCGGGCGCCTGGCCTGGTCTCCATGGCAGCGGCAGATTTATTACGGAGCCTCCACCCAGCTTGGCGGACTTTCAACTTGAAGCTGGGAGGAAGGGGACGGAGCAGGCAGTTGTGGGAGCCTCAAGCCCGCAGGCGACAGCCTGAGGCCCAGGATGGTGAGTGGGGGCCTGTGACGTTGTGGAGCCTGGCTGCCCTGGGGCTGGGGGTACAGTGGGGGGTGGGGGGCGCTTTCACGGGCTCCTCTCCCTGACTGTTTTCCTCTCTCTGCTACAGGCCAAGTTCCTTTCCCAGGACCAAATTAATGGTAGGTTGGCGTTGCTCTTTGATTAGCAACTCGCAGCAAAATGTGGGTCTCATTAGGCAATTTGCTCTGCTCGTTTTTTCTGTGGGTGGGAAGGAGGGCAGCTGGTGGGAGAGCCGGGCCCACCCACAGGCAGGGGGCCGCCTGCTGCAGGGGAGGTGGTAGGGCTCAGAGGTGAAGTGTTGGTGTTACAGTTGTCAGTGGGATTTACCCGTGGGGGAAATAGGAGAGGGCGCCCGCTAGAGGCTTCTCCAGGACCAGATAGCTGGATTTGGGAGGAGGGATGGGAGATGGGGGGTGCCCCCGTTAACTGGCTGTGGCTGAGAGCCCTGGTCTGCACTCTCAGGCAGGCACTTCTACTCTCTGGGTCTCAGTCTCCCCATCTGTGAAACGGGGGTGGGCTGAGGAGGCCTCTGCGGTCCCCTGTGCCCTGACATCAAGCAGCATTTGGAGCACTTACTACCTGAGCCCCCAGCCCACCCGGCGCACAGCCGGCCTCAGTGTAGCACAGCATGGAGTTGTGTTTCCAGAAGGCCAGGAGGGGAGAGTTGGGTTACACAGAACCCAGGGGCCTGTCAGAGCCCAGCAAGGGTCCCGCAGGTGTTGGAGGTATGTCTAGCACTTCTTGGGCAGGGATGCCAGAGTTCTGGGCCCTCAGAGCTTGGTCTAGAGTGGGTGGGGGGTAAGGGGTGCAGGGTCTGGGTGGGCACCTTGTCTTAGATGGCTCAATATCCTCAACCCAAGAGAAGGCCAGAGCAGGGACTGTGAAAACATAAGGCCCAGGGCAAGGTCCTCTCTTGCCCAAGTCTAAGGGCAGACTGAGTGGTGACTCAAGGCTGGAGTCCGGCTGTTGGCCTCAGGAACCCCCCTCTACCAACCCACGCCTAGTTCTGAGGCTCACTGCCTTCCCTCCCAGGATTTGTGAAACTCCCAGAAGGCAAGAAGGGACGCTTGCTTCCCTTTGTATCCCTGTATCTGACAGTAAGAAAGCGGCCACTAATGTTTCACGAATGAGAGATTGCACAGAGGTAGCTCACCGGAGTGGTAAGGGCGGGAGTCTTGGAGGCAGCAGACTGGGGGTTCCATCATCTCTGAGCCTCAGTTTCTCCTCTGTGAAGTAGGGAGAATGACACTGTGAGCAAGGGCCAGAGAGGATGTCAGTCAGGCACATGGTGTCACCCAGACTCGCTCTAGCTAGCATGAGCTGGGTGGTATGAATATTTTGAGGTGCTTGTTAAAATCAGTCATTATTAAATAAAGTAGCATCAAACAGTGTTTGAATCCCTGCATCTATACAGTGAATGTTTTAAAATAAACCTATCATCAGTGCTGAAGATTTGAAAGAGGTTTCAGTTTAATGAATTTGTACAAGGGTGAGAAATAGTGTAATGGTAACTCACCAGATTTAATGACCATACCTTCACTGGGCAAAGAGTTGCATTCATTGGCATGCGGCCTCGCTCGGCGAACCATGGTTGGATGGAAACTGTAGGCTGGCGAGGGACACGAGAGCTGGCAAAACTCACTTGTGACAATCAGCTGGCTGGAACGGAACTTATAGAGAACAGTGCACATTTTATCGTTACTTATAAGTGGCGTGCTATATGTCCTTAATGTCTGTAAATGTCATAATAAACTTGGTTACCTATGCCATCAGAGCTGGTTGTTACACCTGCACCAGCACACAGCTGGTGTTAATCTAGGCCCTGGGGAGGCCCTCTCTTGCTCCAGGGCCTTTGCGTTCCCAAAGGGAAGACCTGAGGGGGATTTTTAACCTATTCTTTCCTTCACCAAATATGAGTCCTTTCTTTGTGCCAGCCCAGGTCTAGGCGCTAAAATACGGCAGCAAACACGACAGACAAAATCCATTCACTCGCTCACACACAGGGAGGATGGGGACAACAAAAGCAGTAACATATATGGGAGGTTAGAGGGCCTGCCCTTCAGAAGAAAAGGCCAGAAAGGGGGAGCAGGGAGGTGTGGGAGTCATGGAGGATGGAAGGGGGCTGCAAGGAGAATGGCCTGCTGTCCTGCTCTAGCTCGGGAGTCCCCATTCAGCTGTGGCCTTCTGGGTAGACCTTTCAATGGTATATTTGTCAAGGTGGGAAGATAGAACGTGTTTTATCTAACAGTTAGGAGATGGGACTCCATTTGCCCCTGACCCCGCTGCTGTCAGGGGCATGGTCCCAGTCACTCATCCATGTGGGAGAGGCAGTCTGCCTGTCTGTAAAGTCTGGCCAATTCTGGGTCCCAAGGGTGTGATGGGCATCAGGCAGGGACAACAACAGTCACAGGCTGAGGTCTCAGGGGGCACACTCAGAAGACAAGGTGGGTGATGGTCATGAGAGGTCCCCAGGAAGGGCGCTGGGAGAGTTTTAAGCCCTACATGCAGGGTGGATCCCTCAGGGTGCCCCCACATTAGTGGTGGCATCACCCCCACTGGCATGGGGCCCTCTTGGATGGAATCGGGTTTTGCAGGAACCAAAGGTGGGATCTTAGGCCAGGCTCCGGTGCTGCTTCCTCTAGACCACTTCAGTTCCTGTCCCTGCTCATGTGTTCTGGCCCTCTCCAAGCCCAGGCTCTGGAAAGTTCTGAAAGGGCTAGGCTTTCCCCTTCAGCCTCTCCACAGGCACAAAGTTGGCTAATTGTCCCTAAACCCCACCAGGGAAGCTGCCTTTTATTAGCAGCGCCCCTGAAATCCTCAAGGAGAGGCCTTAATTGGGGAACATGAAAGGGCCTTAGGGCAAAAGCTGGGGACCTTCCTTCAGCCTCCCCCTACTCCCCTCTACCCTCTGGTGGCCTCTGCCTGGGAAACCAGCATCCAGAGTGGCCTGGGTGGAGCTCTGCTTCAGAGTCCAGACTGCCTCCCCCCCACCAACCTCCCTCCCCAGGCCCTCAGCTGCCACAGCCCTCAGTGGCTCCCCCGAACTACGGGAACAGTAGAGGCACTGCACTGGGCATCACAGGGGCATGGCAGGATGAAACAAGGGCCCAGGGGAAGTGCTCGGTAGAGTGAGCCTGCCATTGGTTTTATTATTATCAGCTGAGGAGCAGCTGGCCCGGGCCACAGAGGCACAGGGGAGCTGAATGCTGAGAGGCCTCCATGGGGCTCTGCTGTGGGGCTCAGGGATTAGAGTCACCGGGGAAGCTCTTGACCAATTCTGCCCGCAGCCCCACCCCAGCCTGTCTGGGAATCTCGGAGGTGGGGCCCAGGCATCCTCCCCAGCTCCTTGCTGGCCCCATAGTGCCCTGAGGGCAGGGAGCTGGGCTTTGCTGTGTCTAGGGGAGCCTTAGCTCGGGCAGCCACAGCATCTCCTCCCCAGGAGGAGGGGTCAGGAGAGCAGCCAACCAGATTTAGTCCCACGGAGTCTTTAAGAATAGGACCAGGGGGACACCTGGGTGGCTCAGTTGGTTAAGCCGCTGCCTTCGGCTCAGGCCATGATGCCAGGGTCCTGGGATCGAGTCCCACGTTGGGCTCCTTGCCCTGCAGGGAGCCTGCTTCTCTCTCTGCCTGTGCCTACCACTCTGCCTGCTTATGTGTGCGCTCTCTCTCTCTCTAACAAATAAATAAAAAATCTTAAAAAAAAAAAAAAAAGAATAGGACCAGGGTGGGGCGCCTGGGTGGGTTAGTGGGTTGGGCCTCTGCCTTCGGCTCGGATCATGGTCTTGGGGTCCTGGAATCGAGCCCCACGTCGGGCTCTCTGTTCGACAGGGAGCCTGCTTCCCCCTCTCTCTCTGCCTGCCTCCCCCTCTCTCTCTGCCTGCCTCTCTGCCTACTTGTGGTCTGTCAAATAAATAAAATAAAAGTCTTTAAAAAAAAAGAATTGGACCAGGGCTATCTGTGTCAGAGGACTGCCTGAGGGTTTAGCAGCCTGGAGGTGGGAGGCTGGAGAGTGGACACAGCAGTGCTCACAGATGTGATAATAACTCACCAGATAGGACAGCCATTCTCCACCACGCCTTCCCAGAGGGGATTTCTACCAGTGGCATTAAATTCCCTGGTTTCCCATATACGTCTTTGCAAAGGTACTCTAGAGTCTGCAGGCCCTGCTGTAAACTCCTGGTCTCCATGGGCTGGCCTGGAGGGTAGGATTGCTTTCCTTTGGTTTTAGTCAGTTATGGAAGGGGAGAAAAGAGGAAAGGGGAAAAAAAAAAAAAAAAAAACAAAAAAACAAAAAAAAAAAAAAAGAAGAAAGAGGGGAGGGAGAGAGACAGAGGAGGCAGAAGGGAAGTCAGGAGGGGGAGGGGATAGGGGTTGCCAGATAAAATATAGGCCACCCAGTTAAATTTGGATTTCAGATAAACAACAAAGCCTTTTTAGTATAAGTATATCCCATGCAAAACGTGGGGCATACTTATACTAAAAATGTATTCCTTATTTATCTGAAATTCAGTTTAACTTGTCAGCCCTGTATTTTTATTTGCTGTGTCTGGAAACTCAAGAGGAGAGTCAGCAAGGAGAAGGGAAAGGAAGGGAAAAGGAAGGGAAAGGAAGGGGAGGGGAGGGGAAGGGCAAGGCAAGGCATGGGTGTGGAGGGCAATTACATGCAGTTGACTCTTCCTTCTGGGCTGTCTGTGCACAGAGTACAAGGAATGCTTCTCCCTGTATGACAAGGAGCAGCGGGGGAAGATAAAAGCCACTGACCTCATGGTGGTGATGAGGTGCCTGGGGGCTAGCCCAACACCAGGGGAGGTACAGCGGCACCTGCAGATCCACGGGATTGGTGAGTGGTTTGGGCCAGACATGGCTGCTGGAGGGGCACACACCAGCTGGGCTGGGGGTGGGGAGCAAGTCCTGTAGCTGGCGTCTTGGGGCAGGGCCCAGTAGGTGGGTACAGATGGCAGGGGTATGAAGAGCTCAGACGTTTGAGGGGCGGGTGGGCGTCGGAGCTCAGCAGGTGGGCGTCGGAGCTCAGCAGCAGAAGCTATGGAGACATCTGGCCAGGTGTGCTGTGTATCACTCAGGCTTCCTGGAAGCCCCCCAGCAATCAGCGACATGCCTGTTTGTCACAGAGGAACACAGGGTCTAGGCATTCCATTATCACAAACCTGCAGTAAAGACTGTGTTAACAGTGATCCCACGTGTTGGGACAATTTCCCTTCACTGAGTATTTGTCCCATGCTTAGCTCAAACAACTCTGTGAAGTACGCACCATCCTCCTGTTTTACAGGTAAGGACCAAGGTTCAGAGCCATTAGGTAATTTGCCCAAGTTCTTAACCCAGTGGTGGAATCAGGGTTGGGACCTGATTCTTCTTTCAAAGACCGACCTCCTAAACACTGTGCAACACTCTGAGAAAAAAGGGTAGAAGAAAACCTAGCCAAGATGCTACCATAATTGTTCTCTCTGGTGATGGGATTAGGGATGATTTTCATTCCCTTTATTGTTTCTTGCATGTTTGATGATGGGAACACCTAGGACTTTTATAACCAGAAACAAGTTTTATTTAAAAAAAAAAAATGAGAAAAACCAGAGAGGTGTTAGAGGCCAGATAGATGTTTGCCCTGGTAGTTGGACACACAGGAAGGAAAGCCTGGCCCAGAGGAAGGAGGTGGACTGGAAAGTGCACTTGACCTGGAGCCCAGAGGTGACTTCTGGGTGCCTGGACCTCGTTTCCTCACCCATCGGCTAGGGTTACTCTGAGGTCCCATCAGAGTGTACTTGCAGCAGCACTGGGAGGCCATGGCGGGTGGGGGGGCTTCTGAAGATCTGGAGCCGGCTGATGGGGTGCTCAGGGACTGAGATCCCCATTTCCAGCTCTGAATGGGGTGGTGGTTTCCTTTGGCTTCTGTGTCCTCCAAACAGGAAGTTGTGGTCAGGGGAGGTTCTGATTTCCTGCAGTTGTAGCTGGCCAGCGCCTGGGCTGAGGCCTGCAGGCATGCTTGGAGGAGGGGCCTGGGCTGGAGAGACCAGGGCAGAGGCTGTGGTGAGGGGGAAGGCCGAATAGGGGGTGAGGCTGGGGCTTGAGGCTTCAGGTGGGGTGACCTGTCCGTCCTTGTGGGTGTGCTGCAGTGGCTGCCGAGGAAGGACGGATGCAGAGAGTACTTCCTTCCAGCTCAGGGCAGGAGGGGAGCCCCCGGATGGGAGCAGAGGAAGTGTGCCCCATCCTGGTCCTGCCACCACCCTGTGAGGTGACTCCATGCTCTGGGGCCTCTGTTGCCTTAGTGGGCAAAATGGGGCAAGGGTCATCCCGGTCACTGAGGGCTCCTGAGAGGATTCACGAGGCAGATCCATGGTGGGAGGGGGGTTCTGTAGGAAGGGCTGCATCCTCCTCACGATAACTGTCGCCAGCAGGGCAGTTCCTGAGTTGGGGGCCCTTGAGCCGGCCATAGACTTGGGCAGGAGGCCATTTAGCTTCTCCAAGAAGAGCCGCTTCCTCCCTGCTCAGTCTGCTGTGTTGGGGGTTTTCCCAGACAGAGATGGAGAGCTGGATTTCTCCACTTTCCTGACCATCATGCACTCGCAAATAAAACAAGAAGATCCAAAGAAAGAAATTCTTTTGGCCATGTTGATGACAGACAAGGAGAAGAAAGGCTACATCATGGCGTCTGAGCTGCGGTCCAAACTCATGAAACTGGGGGAGAAGCTCACCCACAAGGAAGGTAAAGGCCTGAGTCCCTCTTTTGCAACAGTGAGGGTGGAGTGGGGGGTGGGGGGGAAGGACAGCAAAGCCCAGTCAGCAGGACTGTGCCGACACCGCATGTGATCTTCACCCAGATGGCTGTGACTCCGTGTCACGCTCAGTGAACTCGAGCCCAAGGGAAAAAGTAGGGGCCCGAGAGTGACGGGAGAAGGCTGCCAGGGTGAGGGAAGGCCTGGGGAGACCATGCTAGGATCTACTTGGGCCTTCATTTAGTGCTCACAAGACCCCTGGAGGCACCAGTGCCCTTGTTATACTGACCAACAGGTGACAAACTGGGGCGTGAATGCAAGTCTGTTCGACACACACATGGCCCCTCAGACTCTTTCCCTTTGCCAAAGCTGTCTTCTGAAGTGGTTGCTGATGCCGAGGGTTTCCAAACTGAGATGCTACTTTGCCCCCCTCTCATGACTCAGCTGGTTTGAAGTGCTCTTCCAGAAGGAGCGTCTGCGGCTGCCTTTGCCTCGCATCTTCCGGCAGGCCACTGGGCCTTCCTGCCTTGGAGCAGGAGGGGCTGCGGTCTTCTGGGCACGCCCTTTGGCTATTGTAGGAGGTGACCCCCATGCTGGGCCGCCAGCCAGCATTCTTCCAGCCTTGCCCCTCCACCCTGTCACAGCAGCCGTCCGGGGGCTGCCACCAGAGGCTGGCATTTCCAGTTTGGCTGCTGGGCCTGCCGGTGGCAGGGATGCGAGTGCTGGGCTGGGACACAGGCAGGTGGAGGGAAAGGCTTTGGGAATGGTGGACCTTTAGCCTTTGGTTAAATCACAACAAACCGGTGGCTTGAATTCGATTTGATGCCTGGCTCCCCCTCATTCTGGGGGGCCCTCAGAAGTGTTTCTTAACCTCTCTCAGCCTCCACGGTTTCCTGGTTGGGAAACGACAGTACAGTAGACAATCCCTCAGGTCCCTCCAGGAGCTAGCATTCTGTAAAGCAGTCTGCTTAGATTTTATCTGCAGTCACTAAGGCACAGCACAGAGCATTTAAAAATAGCGCTACAGACGGCACACTGAGCTCTCCCTGCTTTCTCGGGCTGGCAGCGACCGTGAGCTCATCTTTCACTGTGGCTGCGTTCATGGGAACGTGGGACGCAAGGGCTCTCCTTTGCGCTCAGGCTCTTAGGACACTGCTCGGCCTCTTATGTTGCAGGTGGAGTGCTGGCGGTGGGGGGGGGCGCGGAGGGGGCAGCAGAGGCCTTCATTCTCAGGGTTAATGATCTCTGTCTGAAGCCGTGCCCTGGCCCCCCAGACTCACACCCATCTCTTGTTTGTTTAACCAGGGAAGAAACATTCCAAACAAACTGGTAATGTGTTCCAGACAAGCAGGAAGACCCACTTCCCTTCCTCTTGCTATGGGAGGGAGGAAAGATGATATGAGAAGTAGGAATCCTTTACCCTGGGTGACTAAAAGAACATCTTCAATTTTATTAAGCATCTTCCGAAGGCTGGAGGAGGCTGCCGGGAGGCCTCCATTCTAAGGCCTGGAACAGGCTGATTTCAGCCCCCTGGGCCTTTGTGGGATCTGAGTGAACCCAGAAGGCGTGGTCAGCGCTCAGCCGAGGAGTACAGCCCCTCTTGGGGACAGGAGGGGCCTGTATGCTTGAGCTGCAGCTGCCACTGGGCCTGTCCACTGGAAAGGGTTGACCCCAATGGCTGATGGGTAGAAGCTTCTCCATGAAATAGGATAAATTACAGTCTCCTCAACATTCTAAAAATACTGAGAACCATCATCAGCTTAGGCACTGAGCATAGTAATTACATTTTAGAGGAGGATGGATAGTTAAGCAGAGAATCACAGGAGATTTTCCAACTGCCCAGAATTATGTATCAGGGACTTCTAGCGCCAGGGAAGCTGACACAGGGCAGTGAAACAGTTTTTGCAAGGGGATGAGGATGGGCCCAAAGAGCCAAAGGTAGGTTGGCACCAAGAGGCCACTGTGGAGAAATGGAGGTTGAAATGGACTTTCTTGCCAATATCTGGGACAAGCTAGTATTTTGTCCCAAGAATCCAGAACCAGAAGAAACAAGTAAATGAAGTGATTTTTTTTTTTTGAGCGATGTCAGAGAACAATGACACTTTTGTACACTTTGAGCTTTAGACACAGTTGAATTTATCTTCTCTCCTACTACCCCTGCCCCCTAAACACACACGTTTTAAAAAAGAGGTGATGGTGGCAGACACCACTTGTCACCAAGTCCCCGCTTGGGGTGGGGCAGGAAGGGAAAGCAGGCAGGCTGGGGGCAGGCCAAAGCTACGGGCAGGGTGGCCCAGGATGGGGCTGTTCTGCCGGGAGACTGAGGGAGTGGGTTATAGAAGGTAACATCCATACCAAATATTTCTGGAAATACAGGCGCAGGGGTCAGATATTTTCGTTAGAAAAAAAAAAAAAGACAAAGAAGCAAGCAAGCACCAGGTGGCTTCAGTGACGGACTCACCACTAGCACATCCCCACACTCTACCTGGGCCCCTGCAGAAAACCTGATTCACTCAAAACTGAATCCATGTCTTCAGGGATAGGGGTGAGTCATCCTGTTCTGTTCACTGGTTAATTTCCTGGTCTTCAGGAACAGTCCACTGGACACCAGGAAAGACCTCTGGGGAGCTTCAACCCCCAATAACTAATTCGATGTCCTATAATGTAACACTATAGCCAAACTGAAAAATTAATGTGATTTATTGCAGTGGATGATCTTTTCAAGGAAGCAAATATTGAACCAAATGGCAAAGTGAAGTACGATGAATTTATCCACAAGATCACCATTCCTGTGTGGGACTACTGAACGAAGAGAATTTCAAGAGAGCCTCCCCCAGGCCTGAAAACTCAGACTGTGAAGTTTTTCAAAAGAAAAGGCTCTTTTACCCTGGGGGGCTGCTGGTAAATGCTGCAGCAAGATGAGCTGAGCTGACTGCAGCGGTGGTGGGGCGGAAACTCAGCAATGACACGAAATGGTTTCAGCCTGGCATCAGCAGTCTTTAATAAAAGATTTGTATTGATTTTTAACAAGTGCCATTAGTCCAGCATTTTACGGCATCGAGAGAGCCTTTGGTTTACAGTTGGGCCTGGGTTCCAGTTCTGACTCTGCCATGTCCCAGCTGTGTGACTCTGGGTAAGTCATTTCACCCCTTAAAGCCTCAGTCGGATCCCTAAACTCAAGGTGGACTCCGACTTCTTACCTCATGGAGCCTACTGAGGGTGTCTGTTTTTGGTGCTGGAACCATCTTCCACATTTCCAAAGTAAAGCCAGTGCTGAGCAGAAAACTAGCATCAAGCAAAGAGCTAAAACAAATGAACGAACAAGTATGGTTAACATTTCTGGCAGCACCATGGGGCCACTTTACACATTCTTATTCCCAGCGTGACACACAGTGACATGGTCAGGATATTCATTCATAAACACAGAGTACAGAGTGAACACAGTCACGTTCAACAAGAGGCATCAGCTAGACGGCAGGGAGGGCGATGGGACTTTGCAACCTACACCACAGGCCACCAGATGTGACCTGCTGCCTTCGTCAGAGCCTTGCGGAGCTGGAGGAGCTCCTGTCCGTTTTGAGCTCTCCTGTTATCAGAGAGGGTCACGACACTAGGACGGTGGGCCAAATTGATCAGAGATGGAAAGCAATAAAGGGATGGAAGAGGCCATGGCCAGCATACAGCAAGAGCCCCACTGGGACCTCTTCAAGCCCGAGCAGGGTTTTCAGTGAGGTTTGTAACCAGGAGGGGCCGGGCTGGCACTGCTTGTGTGCTCATACATTTGTGGATCCTGCTGGTACTGTCAGCACAGCCCTAAAAAGGGCTGGAGTCCCACACCAGCACGTTGAGCAGGCAGAGGCCAGAGCTCTAAGTACAGAGATCTTCATCCTTATATGTCTCAAAATTGGGCTCTCTAGGCTGTGGCTTTGTTTACTGGTGCCTTAGTGGCTCAAGAAAAAGAAAACGAAATGAAGAGGGAGGAGTGTCTTTTGGGAAGTTACACAAAACACAAATCTAAGGGCTAAGCACCAGCGAAACTGCAGGGGACAGACCTGCGCAGATCAGATAATCGGCCAATTATCTCACGATGCTGTAGCTTTCAGACCTAACCAGGGTCCTCAGAAAGGAGAGACTTTCATTTTCCCAGCAGTGTAACTGCCAGTGGGGGCGAGCAGGAATTCCTAGGAGCTGTAGAAAGGTCCTGTAGGAGGCAGGCAGCAAGTGGCTCAGACACTAAGCAGGTGAGGTCATGACCGTCTGGCTGGGGGAGCCCAGGCTCACACGGTACAAGGGCACATCCAGGTTTTGTGCGGTCTGAGGCTTATACTCTTGGAAGGCCTTCTTTCAAGAATACATGAATAGAAGTACATAATCGTTAGGGCTACTCCCAGGACTCTTCTAGAGGCCAAAGTGGGGGCAGGGCACACACTGGTTCTTAAACTTACATTAAGTCGAAGGCTCCTCGGGCACCTCATCAAGAAACGCTGCATTTCACTTTCAGGGAAGGCTTAAGGGTCCTGCCCCCACATCTCTTTCTGACTCATCATGGACGTTAGGAAGCAAGTCCTGCACTGCTGAGCTGAACACCACGGATGAGACAGGGTATATACCCAGGAGTTGGAGGGACAGGAAAAGGAAGTTCTGGGCCAGAATAAACAAGGGTACTTACCCTCAAGGCTTTTTAAAAATGTCTCTGTCACTGAATAGTCCCAGGATGGTTTTAAAGCAAGTTTTATTAATCATCTGAGTTGCCAATAGGAATCCGAAGCACAGCTTGCCCAAAGTACCTGAGTGGCGTACAGCAGCCATCAGCACCTGCGGCTATCTCCCCTGACTCAGTGCTCCCAATTAAGGGTACGTGGTAGCTAGGATTCTAAGATCCTGCGACACGTTCTGATGTAAACCTCTACCCCAGGAAAGGCTTTTTACACGACAGTAAGCCCAGGTTTCTTGTTCATTCCTGAAATTCCAGTTGGTTTACTTAGCACCTAGAGTTGTTTACAAAAAAGGCCACACTGCTCTTAGTACTCACACTGCAGATTACCAAACAGATTTAAAACTAAACAGATGCTATGGTTCAGTACAAAGCTTGCCATATTTCAGTAAGAACGGGGAACGATGGCTGTATATGCATTACTTACCTCAAAGCATGTTGCGAGAGAATTAGTTAATTGCCATGCTTTGAAATCTCTGGATGAAAGGTGCTTTGGAAGCACAAAGCGTTATCATTTTTCTCATAGGGATTGTCCCTTGAATACCCACAGTATATTTTACAGAAGACAAATTAACTGAAGGCTTTTCTTTTATTACATCTAAAGAGCTCTACATAAACAGGTAACATTCAATAGGTAAACAATTTTTTTTCCAATGCATGTAATAAATATTTTCACTTGGTACTTTTATACAAACTGACATTGGTCTACTATACATTTTTAAAAGCCATTTTACTGGTTTGGCATGCGGTATGGAAATTTCTAAGAGAGAAAGTTTTAAGGCAATGAATCACAGATTTAAGTTCATGGAATTTATGGTAACTTTATATCTGTTTATATACATTTCCCCTTTGTTAATTAAACAATTAACAGCAGCACACTCTGGGACCACCAGCTATTTATTCTCCCTCCCTCTTTCTGAAATCTAAGCTTTGTGTTTTTTTTTTTAATTAAAAAACAATTCAAAATGTATTGATAAAACAAAATCCTTACTAAAATAATTTTAAATGTGCTTTAAAGTCCTGAAGATCTTGAAGCGTCTTATGTATTTAAACTTGGAATTGTTTAAAAATGTTCTTTCCAAAATTAGCGCATTTAAAATTGGGATATAGTTTCATTCAGTTTCAGACATTTGTCTCTATGGAAAATCTGCCAGGAAATCACATTTATCAGAAGATTAAGTGCAATCTTTCTTAAGTCAGTAATGATACAGAAATGTGGTAACATCTCAATTAACAGAAGAAAAATTTTAATGCTCAAAATAAATTAGTCAACCAAGTGTGGTATGGTTAAGGTTCAGATTGTTTTAAAAAGATGTGTCCAATAATGCCCACAAAATAATTAAAAGCCACTTCAACCCTGCTAAGTCAAACAGCTATTTTATCAAAGATGTGTGCATGTATACACCCACACACACACCCACACACAGAGAGTACTGTACAGAAACACAATCATATGCACACCTATTATGAATGACCAAGGCAAGGGGATGGTGGCAACTTGCCAAAAGACTCTAAGAGTCGCTATTTGTCCGCAGACAGCATGTCAGTGTTGGTGTGGGTGGGGGAGTGAGGGCAGGCTAAGGAAAAAACAGACGAAATGACCATGCACTTCTTTTAACTTAGAACAGTGCAGTGCCTGACTCTACCAGTAACTAGTACAGATCATGACAGTCTGATTGACCAGTATCGACCACGAGACCAACAGAGTGATAGCTACCACTCATGCAACGCTTGGGAAAGTCAACAACTTTCCAAAGAAACAAACTCCTTAGAGTGGAATGAACTAACATCAAAAGACAATCAAATAGTTCGTTTCCCCTGTGGAGACATGACCAAAGCCACCAGACAGACACTTCTTTCTCCCTATTACCTGTTCTTCCCTTAGGTCGGTATAATGCAGGGCACTGAGGGAAACTCACCATCCCCAAAACTGGGCTGAAGAAAGGAGAGGGATGGGTTTTCAACTGGATCATTCAGAGTTTGGAATTCAGCATCATACACAAAGTTATTGATCAGAATTTTGAGACCACTAACAACAACAGAAAAACAAACAAAAAAAGAGAATACAAAAAACTATTCATTTTAAGTAGCTGAATTAACAGAAATGTTTCCTATTACAGTGTGAAATAAGAAGCAACACCCCACAACTTGAGTGATTTCTAACCCAATCTGAATTTAGACACAAATTATGGTACCATTAAGTATTGCCTAAGTTAATATAGCGATGCGAGTTCTTAAAAAGAGTTTACTCACCATAATAGCATATTCATTAAAAAACTTAACTAATTCCTGTTTTCACTGACAATGAATCTTTTGTTTTTTATTGCAGATTGTTTAGTGACTATAACTCAGCCATGTATGTGTGGAATACACATGCGTAGGGGAAGACTATATAACTCACGTGTCACTCACACTTGTCTATAAATACATATATACACACACACATATACATATCAACACCAACTTGTTTTTCAAAATTCAAGTCAACAATTTAGTGGCAGAGAGATGCTGTAAAAACAGGTATTATTTTTAGATGCCACACAGTCATGTGAACCGTTAATTTTATCATACAACTGAAGATACAGCCATCTTGAATTCTACCTGGAAAAAGTAGGTCACTTTGTTACCACTGCAAGGTTGAAACACTTTTATACACAAAGGTGGTCCTTCGTCAACTCTGAGAACCTGAACAGCTGTGATAGAAAGATCCAGCCTGGGAAACTGGTAATTGTTATGCCCCTTCCTTCTTTCTATCTTTTCTGTTAAACCAGCTAAACCTCTCCATCAGCTAGAAGATACTTTCCACACCCTCAGGTGCTCCCTGAAGAACATCACACCTTCTCTAATGAGGATTTTGGGACACAGGTAGAACCACCTTCCTTCCCTCCAACCCACACTCATCTCCTGAAAAACAGTTCTCCCTATATTTACATGTTCCATTATTAATAAATAGATCAGATTGATCCATGAATTCTAAAGAAAGAAAGTAAGTAACAAAGAAAGAAAGAATTGACTTCCTATGACATGCTTTTCTTTAAAAGGTGAAGAAAAAATAAACAAGATAGCTAGGCTAAGAAAAGAAGTACACTCAGATCCAGAGAGTAAAAATGACCAAGGATCAAGCCTATTTTGCATTTCAACTGTTTATCAG